TTTAACTAAAATAATCAAAGTCTTAATTTCATGCAAAAATAATGGATTTCTTTTTACATCACCTTACTTGCTTGGTCCTTAACCCTTTCCACTCGCGAAATGGGAGATTAATATGTATTTTGTCGCCGGAGCGGATATTTTGTCGCGGAGATGGATATTTTCGAATTTCTTTTCTCGCAGGAGCTCAAATGCTTCGAAATTAATAAAAAAAATCTCTTCTAAATATTAGCTCTTAAAATTATCTTTAAGATAGGCCGCTCTCCAACTAAAGTTTCTTATGGAAATAACATAAGAAAAAAAAACATTTGTTTTTTAGAATTTCCATATTAACACACTTTCGGCGGTGCGGGTATTTTCGGGTACTCGGTCGGACACGCTAGATGCGAAGAGCGAACGAAATTTCTTACTATGAGCGGTTGCAACGCTAGTTTTATATTTATTATAAAACTATAATAAAATTATAATTTATTCTTCAAAATTATTTTCGATACGTAAATACGTATACGTTACATAAATATTTTGCTATCTTTGTATTTATTGCGTTTCGATAATTCATATAATTTAAAATTCAAAAACAATGTTAAAAATAAGCTATTACTAACTATTAGGTTTGTCACTAATTTATACACCATAAAAATTAATTTCGTACAATATTAAAAATAATCGAATTTTCAACGTAAAACTCTAGATTGTATACAGTATGATTATAAGTGATATAGGTACTTTATACATGATTGGAGAATGGAATTACTTTGTCTAATTTACGTACCTGGCAACAGGTAATTTTATCAAATACAGTATCCGGCGAGTAATAAAACTAATTCATTAATTTACTGTTGAATGACGAATTTTCGCAATGTTTTTCAATTGTGCTTGGATTACAGGTAATTTGAAAATGTATGATATCATATTTCTCGTATTTTATTATCCAATTACTTTTATTTGAAAGAATTCAACGGAATTAAATGTATTTAATAACCTGTTACTTCCTATTACCTAAATAAATCTTCAAATTTATATTTAAAATCTAATCTAATTAAAAATATTTATCATATTTAAAACAAGCATTTAAGCAAAAATAGTAAAATATGGTATTCTGATTAGAATGGCTTGCGAAGCAAAGTCAGGCTACATATGCAATTTAAAAATTTACTATGGAAATGGCAATAGTTTACAGACAACTATATTAGATATATTAGAACCTTATTTAAATTTGTGGCATCATGTATACATGGACAATTTTTATAATAGTTTAAATAAAAGTTTATTATTACTACAAAATAAAACTAGGATTTGTGGGACTATAAGAACAAACAGGGGCCTTCCTGAAGAACTTAAAAATTTGAAACTTAAAAGAGGAGAGAATATTTAGAAGACGCCAAGAAGTTTTGTTACAATTCTTCAAAAAGAATAGTCCAAATGATTTCTTCAATTCTAAACTTATTGCGTAAAAATGTGTAGTGTATACTCGTGTAAAAAACCTACCTATAACAAACTTTTCTGTGTATTTTGATTAATTGATTTTTATGATTAAATTTATTTTTGTATTTCACAGACTAAACTTGTGAGTAATTACGTAAGAAAACGTATAGAAAATGTTTCTGTGCATTTTGTTTTAAATTTTTAGAATTAATTACATTTTTCATTTCATTGTCTAAACACTAAACATATGTATCATTGCGTAGTAATATTCAACTTTATTTGCAAATGTTTTACCTTCAGTATTGATAGTTTTACCTCATAATAACTTAATATTATAGTATTTACTACTGCGTATGAATTTAGGCAGTAAGTATTGTAAGTAAAAGACTGTTCTTTCATGCCATGCTTACGCATTCGCACCGTTGTAAAAACCCCGCTACGGGTACAAGTCAGCCCGAAATCCTATCCGCCGAAAGTGTGTTAATGAACACCCTAATGCTCTAATACATATATCAAAATAATTATGTTAATCAAGAACTTCAAAAATTCGCTTTCTACAAGCTCATAAATATCAATTAGTCATCTTGCGCTAATTGTGAATTATAATATTAATAAATTGAGATAAGCGAAATTTGGTATATTTTTTGACATTAGTATCAATTTTAAGCACTTTAAATTAATCTTTAAATCGTGTAGTATGTTATAACACAAAAATAAAAATATAAACGTATTAGAATTTTTTTTATCAAAACACGATAAAACCATTGTCTGGTATGTAGCATGCAGATTTTGTTGTTGTTCAAGAAAGATATAAGAAATAAGAAACATTGTTTAAGTGCGTCTGCACTTCCACAATGACAGCTAAATATAAAATCATAAAAACGTGTTTTAACGCATTGCACAAGCGGATGGGGATAGAGATGATGTATGATGGACCAATGTTTACGATCAAAATTCATTTCTTTTGTTCGGATTATATTTAACATTGAACATTATTATAGTTATTTATCATTACAAATACATTTTACCTAAAATTTACATGTAACAATAATATGAATTTAAAACAACACCAACATATTTCGTTAGGTTATAGTAACGCCGATAATATAGAGAGAAAAAAACGAAATGGGGTAGATAATTGATACAGTTCTTATTTAAGAACACAAGAATATATAACTTAATAATGTACTAGTTCGCATAAATTGTATTAAACAAGTGATGTATGGCATCTTTTTTTTAAAAAAAGATTTTTTTTTAATTTTTGAAAAAATTTGATTTTTGAGAAATTTAAAATTTTTGAAAAAATTGACTTTTGGAAAAAAAATTTTTAGGAATTTTTTTTTTTATTTTGAAATATTGCTAAAATTAATCAGCACGTCTCCTTAAAAATACGAATCGGATGTTTTTTAAATTATTCAAATTTCCGAAATCGTCGACGAAAATTTGTATCCGCACACACACACATACATACATTTTTTCTAAAGTATGTTAAAATGTTCAGAAGATTTTGAAACGTAAAGATATATATAAAAATTTTCATTTTCGATTTTTTTACGATTACTATAATTTACCCTACGGGAACTTAATAAATAAAATTTATAAATTCAGTTACAAATACATATACAAAAGTATAACTCGACCTTATCATCTATTATAGTTTATAATTAATCTACTATGTTTCTAATCAATTATTAGTGAATGTATATTATAATTTTTAGTGAGTGTATCAGTGATTCTCAATCTCAACGTTGTCCATGATAACATTCAGCAAATCCAGGTCAGCAAAGAAAAATCGGGATTCCCAAAATGAAAATGGGGTGTTTTTGAGTCAGTCATAGTAATTTAGAAGTAATTGTAAAATAATATCGTTTTTGGCAAAGGCAGGTCTAGCCGTTCCAAAGATACGGGGCAAAAAGTGCCAAACACGTTAACACCGTTTTTAAGAGAACAGAGTGTCCGATTTTAATAATTCAAAAAACATTTTACTTGTATTGACAAGATGAAGAACTGATTGAATATTTGGAAAGACAGGTGCAACGGTTGTGGACTCTCAATTATAATAAGTTAAAAAAATGTCATTTGGCGGTCAAAAATGTTTATTGGACATATGTTATCTAATTATCAGATATTTTATAGAAATTTTAATAAAGTGTACACATTTTGTGTAAATTTTTTTGGATTCCTTATCAAGATTTTCGATTACCGTACGGGAAGTTCCAGCAATTTGCCTTAATGGCACGATGCCATGCACACCAGTAGTTCTATGATTATTTTAAATTCATTTAATAAATGTATTCCAGTAACATGTATTTTTACTTTAAATATTTAATGATACACTTTAGTCCAGCTGGTAGAGTATAAAAAAATGATATGGGGTCTATGGCAAACCCCAAGGTGTCCACGATACAAAACAGTTTGAGAACCTATATATTTATAAATTTTAATCTTTTAAAATTATTGAGAAAGGATACATTTCTTATTCGAGAAACATAATTAAAAAAAAATTGAATTAAATTAAATTAAAAATTATATGTGAAAAATAATTTTGGCATATAAAAATAATATATTATTATTTTTAATAACTACAAAAAAAAAATTGTTGCTGTTTTTCTTTTACCATGGTAATACAAATTTCTTTTTGTAGTTATTAAAAATAATAATATATTATTTTTATATGCCAAAATTATTTTTCACATATAGTTTTTGATTTAATTAAATTTTTAATTAAATTTATAGGATATGAAATGTATCCTACATATTTGCAAATATGTGAGTTAATTTACGAAGCATTCAAAAAACGTCAAATACAAAAATTTAAATTATGTTCGAATCAAAATATTATATTAATTATATTTTCACATTGGTACATAATTGTAATTCAAATTATTTTACTCGCATTTTCACTACTTCTCAAATTACTTTATTTTCGCACAATTTTTTAATTAATTTATGATTTCGCTCTATTTATAAAATTTTGGTTTTGTTTCAGATAAAATTAATTTGTTCAGTAGCTTGAAAAAATTTCGTTTTAAATCATTATAATAAGTAGAACTTTATATGAAAATTGTACTTGAGATAAAAGTAGAAAAAAAATAGAAAATATATTAAAAAAAGTGGTAATGAAGTTAGGTGCATATTTAATTAACAACAAGACGCATAAACTTAACAAAAAAAATTATACCTCACCACTTTTTGGGTTAGTGATGAGATATAATTTGAAATAAGTAATAAAAAATAATTGATAAAATGTACTGAAATAAAATGAAACATCATTTTATATATTTTTATATCATTTCAAAGAACGAATTCAAATGTACGTGTAATTTTATAGTATCCTCAAGGTCCATCAAGTTGTTTACGGAGTTTCTAGTGCGTGACAGATTTTGACATCTATGAACATTTACAAACAGATGGTACCTGTTGCTCATACAATTAACTTAAAATTTGGCTATTTAATTGCGACTATTATTGTTAAGAAGTATGTATGTAAAATATGTCCCGCGATTGAGTTAAAAAAGGATGAATTTTTAAGGAATATTTAATATCAACAAGCCCTGGTTAAATTATGTTTCCCTTACCAAAACTTTAGTAAATCTCCTATCCAATTCAGCAGTATCTGGCATCGGCTGAGCCGATCTACTCCGTATACTAGCCTGACGGACATGATGCTGCGGCTTAGGAGCTATTGCAACTATTTCAGAGACCGGCGGTGACTCTTGCTCATGTTTTGAGCTTGTCAAACCCATAGTCCTAACATAAGACACTTCGACTTTACTAAGGCACTTAATAATTAAGGCACAGGTTTCATCACTATAACAACTATCACGACATTGCACAATGGTAAACGATCGTTAATTTACATAGATGATCAACAGGTTCGTACAACATTGCATCGAATTCTTCGTATACACAACACAATGTTAAAATGAAAACTGACAGAAGCTAACGAACAAAACAGAAGAAGCGAGAAATGGCGGAGTCGCACGACTGGAAACGAAGTTAGTCGTGCTTAGTTAACAGAAATGGCTGTTAAAGTTTTCGTGCGTATCGCAGGATCGAAGGTTCTCAAACATTTACATGCAACAAAGATTTGCACGTTTTTTCTGAGATATAAAAAGTTTGTGTTATTAACGCTTCATTATTATTATTTAGCAACAGTTAATTCTTTCAGCTTTTATATTATTATGTGAAAGATTTTATTATTTTTTGTACAATTTTTTCAGCTTTCATATTTTATATGATTCTGTGAAATATTTTATTTTTTATAAATTTTTTTCAACTTTTATATTTTATATTATTATGTGAAAGATTTTATTTTTTTTACAAAAACTAATCTAATTTCGTCGTTCTCATAAAAGTTAAAAAATAGCTGCATTTCAAATAATGTTAATTTTAAAATAAACTTACTAGGAATTTTTTTTTATAAGTATTTTATCATTTATTATTTTTTTATTCAAATAAATATTGAATTCAAATTTTCATTTATTAACGATTTCAAAACTCATAACAACTTTTGAATTTTTATTACTAAAAAAAATTTTTTTTAAAGGATACTTAACCCTTTCCACTCGGAATTAGTATGTATTTTGCCACCAGAGCGGCGGCATCCGAGTGGAAAGGGCACCCATGCCCCCATACATATAAATTTTAACTATGAATGAAAATATAAACAATAAGTTCTATGACTTTTTTATGAAATTTTATGTTATGTATCTTAAGATGATAGTATAACATATGTTATACAATCATCTTAAGAAAATTTTAGGGCATATATTGAAAAACTTAAGTTATTTTTTTTTTAATTGAAATTTATTAAATATGTCACCGATATAAGGCAAGATATTCAAATAACTAAATGATCAAGGTCTTAAGGTCCTTCCGATTCCATTTTTAAAAAACCATTATCAACATTAATTGTGGGGCAAAGACCCCTTGTACTGAAATGATCCAGGTTTTCAAATCCCTAATTTTCTAATTATGATTTCTTTTTTCTAATTAAGAAAATTAAAATAATATAACATGAATTAAAATTGAATTAATATATGAGTAAATAAGATTTAATGCTATTTAAATTGTGAGAAAAACTACTCAATTTTCAAATAATCAACGGTATTCTACCACCTACCACCGTTGAGAAACATTGCACTACATGGTAGACAAATATTTAAAATATATACATATTAAAATTGTAAAATAATCACAAATTTTACTATAACAATGACATATATTTAAACAAATTACAATTTGTGAATTACTGTTTTCTGTATATCAAATCATTAATTATATTATAATAATTATCACATTTGTTATGTTACATATAAAATATTTTTGACACAAAGACTACATTCATAATCATTTATAATGAACCAAATCCCTACAATTTTCCACTTGAAAATCTCATAATATGCAATCTTCGGATAAAGTGTTTTGCTACTCAAAGAATCTATGTCTTCATCTTCGATAATCTCCAAAATTCATAGAACTTCTGTAGATCATAGTTCAAAACCTGATCAAAGATATAATGAATAAGTTTAAATGTCTTTTGCTCTCACTTTGCACACTGGTTCATACTTGTTTAAACTAGAAGTTAATAAAATACAGATATAATTTTATTTCAGTCTCATTTGATAAATTTAACAATTACACATTGCACATACAACTCGATTGTTGCTTTGAAAATTAGTCAAGAATTCTTTACTTTTTTCACTTTATAATGCATAGATAAAAGAAGAGTATTTAGTGATTTAGCGTTTCTAACTGCTCATTTGAATAATTTCTATATAACTATACATTTTATGCTGTGTGATAATTCTGTACAAGTACTTTAATGATAGACTAAAACTTTCTGCCAAAGATATTGAATATGGAAAATAAGTCATATTTAATTAAATATAAAATTTGTTTAATAAGGTACTCTGAGAAGTTTAATTTTTATGTTCGCCACCTTTACTACAAACATTAACTCCATAATAAACATAAACCAGATGTAAATTTCTATATGGACATATTAATTCAATAATGATCAAATATATATTGAATAAATTGTTTTACAGAGATCTCCAGAAAATATTACATTTCAATATATAATATTTAAAAAAAAAAAAAATAAAAATAAAGAACTAAGTCTAGATTTTGTTGAATGCAACTTTATTAATGATTGATTAGACAGTGAAATAAAATAAAAAAGTATTATCACAGTAAAAAAAAATATTTAACTTATGAATTGAAATGGAATGCATGAAGCAAAATTTTTAAAGTAAATGTATGTATATATCCGTTAAAAAATAACTTGTTTATCGATTATTTTATCACAGCTGAAATAATAGTTTTTCTTGCCATACTTTTTGCTTTTTAAATACTACAACATTTTAAGCTGTAATCAGTACAAAAATGTCATCAAAAAAGAATTGAAAATATAAAGAAACTAAGTTTCATTCGCAAGTAATGATTTGTAATTATTTTCTTTTAAGGAAAATGATTCTTTTAAAAATGCAATATAAAACAATTACATAAAGTTTCATTAAAATAAAGTATAAATAATAGTTTTATGTATGTATAATCTTAATTAAAATTATCAAACCAAATTTTTATAGTTATTCATATTTTAATATAAAATATATATATTTATTATTCCATTACATAATACATAAATTCAATTAATATTTTAATTTCAAATAAAATTAATATATTTTTAATATAAGAAGTTACGATATTCTTCCCACACTGTCTGTGGAACCGTCAATGAAATCTGTCACACTTTCATTTTTAGTGTCAATGTACTGCGCATTAATAGAATTATTAAATGACACGTTACAACCATTTGAGTTTTTAAGTAGTCTCTCCCAAGGATCTTCAAGCATAGAAGGGTGAAAGTATTGATTTATATCATCCTCACATATTTTATTGCCGGACTAAAATAAATTTAAAGTGTTATTTATTGAACAGAAATTGAATCATGATGTGTTCGAAATGCACTGATCCACTATAACTAATTAATATCATTTTTCGTAAAGTCAAATTTAGTGAAAATACTTTATGTACTATCAAGCAATATTATAAAACTTAATGCTAATTTTACAAATGTTAAAACTATTTAAAGAATAGTACTTCAAAGATTAATGAATCTTTGTTTAATTGCATTCTAATTTTATTTAAAATGAAGAAGGTATTGATTTACTGAAACTAATATATTTATAATTAAAACTATAATATACTGACTCTATTGTGATTGCCATTGCTGTTCCGATTTCGATAGTTTTTATTATTATGTTTATTACTATTACCGCCATACTGATAATTCATTTTCTGTTTATTTCTGTTGCGATTACCATGCATAGGGCTACTATAGTGCGTTGGATAAAAATTTGGCCCATTATCATTTTTTGGAGATGTATTGAAAGCTATAAAGTCTGAAATAATTTATGTAACTATAAACTGCAAAAAACAAACAAACCTGATAGTGAAATATTACTATTACCGTTATTTGGGGAACTATCCATATTGAATTATATTTCTATATAGGTAATATACAAGAAATATTTTAAGCAAGACTTATTTATTAGATGGAAAATACTTTCAGCATATAATTAGCAAGACGGTGCTTCGTCTATTTGTCTATATTGCAATATATTATATTTTGTCCATGATTCTTAAATCTGAGAATCAAAATTAATAACAGTAAAAAAGAAGAGTATTAATATAAAATTTAGATCATGATATTGCATTTTGTATAAAATTTTATCATACCCTCACATCACGATGATGTTCGAAGAATTGACATGATACAAGTTGGACGAAATATAAACAATTTCAATTAGTTAAACTAAAACAATTCAAGCAAAATTTCTGAATTGTCTAACAGCAATGACACTAACCACGGCAATGGCTGCTCGACTTGGGAAATGTAGAAGAACACCTATTTTCAGTGAAGACAAAACAACTACAGTGAAGTTATTTGCACTCTGGAATAGTCCGAGAGTCCAAGGTTATAGTTTCGGTTGGCCGAACAGGCGTCGAGAGACCACACTTGTATATTTATATGAAATTATTTATTTCATATATATTTGTATTATCCACATTTTTTTTAAAGAAAAAATCAACTATAATTTTGTGACAATGATTTTGTTTTCCTATCAATTTTATGTTTCAAAGTTTTACATCTGCTGAGTGATATTACTATTCAGAGATTTCGTTGAATGATACTTTATTAATGATTGATTAGATAGTAAAATAACTATTAATGAATTTCAAACCCCTAAAATTTTTTGATTCAATTTTTTGAATAATTCTAAATATCCCAGACAATTTAAAACTATGCTTGCGGACCACATTAATACTTTAAAACATAATATAGATTTTTTTATCTCGACTGTACTACAATTCGAACAAAATTATAGAAGGATCTTTTTTGACTATTCATAACAATAGGACTATAAATAAGCGAAAAGAACTCAACTCTTTTATTTAGATAATATTTCCAAATTTCTCACAAAATAATAAAAATGTCGCGCAAACGTTTTGCAATTAGTTTCACACTTAGTTGTAGAATCTTGGCAAAAATAATTTAAAAAAATCTTATCTCCATTATGTATTTAAGGTTAACACATATATTGCACACTATCTATTTGTGATTTTTTAAAGTTAGTATTTTATGAAATATTACAAGTTTAATATTTATATTACAAAGTGTATTGTAAGTATAATAGATCGCTATGTCTCATATGTCTGGCGATTTGACGTTACCTCGATTGAAATACAAATTTTTAAAAATAGATGGCAGCACATGTAAAATATTTAAATTAACCCCTGGTATTACTTCTAAATTTGTACGTATCGTATACAGCCCAAAAAACATGAATTATTTTTAATATTGGAAATAAGAATAAATCATAGGAAATACAAAATATATATTTTCAAATATATTACATAAGTTTAAAGAACAATTAAAATTAAATTTATATTAACAATTATAATTACAAGTATGGAATGTTTGAAAATATAATTATTATACATATTTATAAGTATCTTAATAATATCTCAAAAACTAAAGATCTAAGTGGAGAAAACCACAGAGGTATTTAACTAACTAACCAGAAATAACTGACTAATATTAATATCTCAATGACTAATATTATTATATTAAAAACTTAAAAACTAAGAAGAAACTAAAAGCACAGAAGCACACGATGCAATATCAAACTTATTGTTAGAAGGAATGACAAATAATACAAAAATTTAGAAGGTTAAAAAGAACAGATAATTTGTTAAAAAGTACAAATACTTCACAAGCAAACAAGTCCTAAAGACATAAAATATATATTGATATCAAAATTGAGAGAAATCCAAATTCCTAGGATTAAAACTCATTTACGAGACATTGTTCTTTATTAATTCTGCATGTAATAGTTAATTTGCTACCTAATGAGTTAATAATAAAGTTGCATTTAACAAAACCTTTGAATAGTTTCTGCATCGATGTTTTATAACATTACATTTAATCATGTTTCATTATGAAATCATTATCATTGAAATTACCATAAAATATCAACAAAATGTTTTATGCACATACAATTGTTCATGAATTGAAAGATAAAAGCAATATTTTTGACTCACAAGGTCAGTAACAAATATATTTTGAATTTAAACATTATATTGGGATGTTGCTCAAGTTTTTTTTGAAGATTATTATAACGCAAAATATTATGTATGGTATAGACTCGCTTTATAAGTGTTTACATTTGCTAATATAATAGATAATATCTTATTAAATATAACAATGAACTTATGTTCATGAACATTTAAACCAATACTAAATAACTGTTTTGCAACATCAACAATATGAGATTCAATCCAATCATATAACAATTCCGAAGATAATGGTATTTCATCAAACATCAAAACACAGAATTTGCTACTAATACTTTTTAAGAGAAATAGCTGAACCTAATGTTTTAAATAGACACTCATTAACACCGCTATACTATTGTATCTCTGAATGCAAACTTTCTCAATGTTTGAGGACATGGCAAAAAATTTGTCTTCAAAAATAGAACGCCTTTGGAGATTATTTGTATGACTTAATTTTTAAATTATTGCATTGTTAATGAATCCTTCTTGTCATTACATCTTGCATTCCTTAGTTGTCAAAAGAGCTCCTAGGCTTTGTTCGTAAGTACATTTTGCAGCAATTTGCAGGTACCCCCAATACACCTATTCAATATAATAACATGTTGAAATATCATATTTGATTATATATAATTAGAGTTGCAATTATTATAAAAAAATAACTTTCCGGGAACTGGTATTGGAATAGCTGAATATTTTAACTTGCACTTGGCACTTTTTTGAGTACTATAAAAACACTTTGCCATATTAAATTTCACTTAAATGTTCACTTAAACACAATTAATTCATTAGAAACAATTTTAGGTTATTCGTACGATTCGTACAGGGATCAAATGCTTGACAGCGCTTGACAGCCTCGCGTGTCAACTTGCACGAAGCTGAACGATTTGTACTTGAAATTGGCACACATGAGCCATCTGTTTTTAAAAATTGACACTACTCAAGACCAAAACAGTGCAACGCGCATTTGTTCGAAGATAACTCCCCATGGTGTATTGCATCACCATGTCCTGAAACCATGGATTATTGAATTTTCTATTTTAACACTAAGATTAACTAATTGTAAGTATTTTTTACCCTTTGTAATTGTTTTTCCCAATTCAATTGTTTTAGTTTCCACTTAATGAAGGCTAGGATTATAGCCAAAACATATGGATGTAAAATGAATTTTTGAAAGAAATTCATGATTTTTATTGATGTTATATCCGATTACTAGACTTTGTTCATAAATAAATAAACACGCATAAAGTTTTTGCAAAAAATTTATGTGTGTGTGAAACATTAATTGAAATTTTCAAATTTAACTAATTCAAAATTCAATGTAATACCTATATTTGTAAATGCTATGTCGGTATCTCTCAGACTAACGCATGTTAGGCAACAATACAATCATGAAAACAAATGTCTTTCTTGGTTGCCTGCCGTCCTGTCACTTCTGTCACATACTGTTTATTTTGCGTATTAACCCACTACACAATATTAGAATATTATATATTATATTACGTTATATATACATATTATAACATATTCATGATTAACCTTACATTCAACTGATTTATTTCAAAATTATATTTAAGTAATTATAATTACCAGTTAGTATGATTTTAATTTTAGAGTAATACAAATTGTTATTATATACATATAATAAAATATGACAGAGTCTATAAATATTATAACAAAATCCATAGATTTTACAGATCTTGTGGATATTCTTAAAAAAAAATATTGTGGTATGTAATTAAATGCTGTATTTTGTTATATTTAATAATTAGCTCATTTTTTATTGTTCAGAGCAAGTACACCGAAACGAAAGTTTAAAAGAAACAAATGATTTACTGATTAAAGAAAATACTGATCTGAAAAAAGAAATAGAGTGAGTAAATTTTATATGACATTTAAAGCTAAAGGCTCTTGCTAATGGCCAATAATTGTTTTTAAAATGCAGGCATCTAAAAAATGAATTGAAATTGCTTATATCACTGTCATTGCCAAGTAGTGAATTTAAAAGTTCAACCCAAAAAAGTAATGCAGGTTTGTGTGATATATTATTTGTATTTCTACAAAGTTATATATAATTTATTGCTGTCTTTAACCACTATCAGAAAGCGATGAAGACGATTTTAAACATGTCATTGCGGAAACGTTTTGTGCAGAAATGTTAGACGAAACACATTATTCTGTTAATCAAAGTGAAACTTTTGAAAATTGCCAAACTAGCCCTATAATTTGTACAAAATTTCAAAAACCAAACAAACAAGATAATTTAAAACACACAGAGGAAAAATGTACCTTAAATAACAAAAAATTAGAAAATTGTGTCCCATCTTGGGATAATTTAGAATATGTACCAGAGACTCCAGATGTTATTCAAAATTCTAAGAGCATTTTTACATTTGGAAAGTCATTCAAATCAAATAAAAGACCTCCATTAGTATCAACGGAAAACTCTCCAAAGTCAAAATTAAAGAAGGGAGAAACATACAATAGTCCAGTTTTATTTGAAAGCAGTGATGATAGTTTTTTTATAAATGAATGTAATAAATCATCAGATAGTATAAAAAACAAAGGTAAACCTAGAACTAGCACATTTATAAAACCTGTTACTAAAGGTACTAAATTGAAACAAATGAGTGTGATAAAATGTTTTAAACGATCTACACCATCATCTCCAGAAAATGTTTTTAATTTTGAAGATACAGATATTATGAATGAGAATATTCCCAGCGATCCAAACTTGGTAAAAGTTCAATAAAACTGATTTTCTCTAAAATATGTTATAAATTCATTCATCATTTTTCAGGATGAATCTGCAATTTTATCTGGGAATGGATCATTATTTAATGTCTTTAAAACAGATTCAATATCTCCAAAATCAAGTAAATTTTTATTGTTATATATATATATATATATATATATATATATATATATACATATATACATATCAGAGAACTTCAGCTATATTTTTATTATATTCAGGATTATCTCCTGCTAGGAAAAGACTAAATTTTAATATGTGTGAAGCAGGCTCCTCCACTAAAAAAAGTACTCCTAATGATTGTGACAAAATTAATTCAAATAAGTCAGTAAATGAACAGAAAAATCTGAATGCGTAAGTAATATATCACCTTTAACTAAATAACCCCAATGCACATAACATTGTAAATACTATGTTCAATATATTAACTAATATTTAATAATATTATTCACCATTTGATAACATTTTAGATTTATACCATATGAGTATGATAATAGATTTATAAACTTGCTTTATTTATTTGACAATAATAACCAGTTTCTTTCATAACTTTTACAGTGATAATAGTTTTCTATATATTCGTGACCCGGTTAGGAAAAAATCTGATCGAAAAAAACTTCAAGGCTGGTCTTGTGAAGATTGTCAAAAGGTATAGTTTATTATATACAAAGTATATTAGACTTATTCAAAAATTTTATCTTAACTATTAAAATATGTTTCAGTATTACGAAGGTGCAAATTTAACAGAAAGTCAAATGCAAGCTAAAATAAATGAATGTTCTAAACATCGAGATAATCACAATCCATTTGCTTCAAATACACCTCCTGGTAAAAACTAATAAAATAACCTGTCAAAGGAATTATCTTACATATGATCTTCATATTAATTTATGCGATTGCAGGTTATTGGAATCCAGAATTTCCTCCAACACAAGAAATAGATAGAACACAAACGGGTCACAAGATCTCGAGCAAATAAAGTGTTAGTTTAGTATTTATATGAATTAGTATTTATATGAATTCTGTACCTAATTTATAATTATTATCAAGGTTTCTACATTGGAGAAAAAACTGTGATATCCAGTTTGTCTTTTAACAGGTTACAAATTTCAGGAACAATTTTTTTATGTTATTATAAAACTTTGTTTAATATAAAATTAATTTTATACTGTATTTTACTATAAGAATGTGATATTAATGTACATGATTCCTTTTTTTAAATTATATTTTTAATAATGAAATATGAACAAGAAAAATCTTTTTTTTTTTATTATTTAACTTATCGAATATAATAATATTACATTAGCATATGTATTCTATTAAGAAAGAAATATTATTTGTGCCATAAATGACCAGGTTAAAAGTCATTGCACAAATATATTTACATTGCACATATTTAACATATTTTTTTTATGATATCTAAATTCATAGTAATTCATATTACAGATTACCTCTCTGTTCTTGATCCAATTCTATTGCAGTGAATAACGCCTTGAAATTACCGGCGCCAAACCCTGAGAAACGTAATATATGCATTAAAAGTTATAATTTAGACAAAATCGACTTAACAATCAAGCAGATAAATAATAAAACTAAAAAGAAAAGTATCCTCTGCTTCTACATTCTTATGTAATTTGGACTATATTGACTTTATCGCATTTATTTTTTAATTATGAATTAAATACTTATTTAAGAGCAAAATCTTTTATTGATTGTGAATATGCTATTTGTAGAAAAGCTACAAATAAAAAAGCATATTCTAAAATGATCATTTCACTTGCATTACAATCTAATTTGAAATAATAAATCTATATCAAAATACTTCAAGTGATGTTCATTTTAACTTATATAATTCTTATACCTCTTGTCTTAGATAATTAATAATTATCTTAGATAATTAGAAATTTTAATAAAAATATTGAATCTAAAATCTACTTACATTATGATTGTGTCTTTGTATAACTTCCAAAAACAGTGTTGGCCTATCTTGCATGTTTTTGGTAAATATTTGAAGCAAATAACCATTGTCGTCATAATCTACCAAAATATTAAGTTCCTGTAGAACAGCAAGATCTTCTTGAATACGAACGGGACTTTTCTTCAAATGCTCCCTCAACATATCATAATAGGTGTGTGGAACTTTAAGAAAATCTGTTCCTCTGGCTTTTAAATTTCTAATCTAAAGAAAATATGTTAGATTAGTATTAAAATCTAGAACCAAAATTAATGATAACAAAAAAATATTTAACCCTGTTCCTTGAAAATAATGAAACAAATTAAACATTTCTGCCGCGTACTAAAAGTAAGTTTATTGATTTGAAATTATTTCTATATTATTAGTAGTTTCTATAAATCTTTGAAGTTATTAAAATGGAAAATATTTTTTAGGCAAGCCAGATATTATAGCTGTTCAAAGAATGAGATTATATCGCCAGCGAAAAAGCAAAAAAAATACAAGCAGTCAATGAATGTATGTCAATTTTAAATAAATGAAGTACTTTAAACTAAAGTTGACTAAAGTTGCAAACACAATATTTGTTTAGGCATTGTTTAACATAATCCACTGCGTGAACAAATATTGTAGAATTTTATTAATCAGAAATTACTTCATTTCTCTAATAAAGGTTCATTTCTAAATGCTAATAAAAATGACAAACTGATCATATCATATTTGAAGTATGACTTTAATAGCATTATTGTTTTTCAATATTATACATATTTTTAATGCTATTATTAATATATAATTTATAATTTATCATCATATAAATGTGTATAATTGTTGACACTAAAAAATGTGTGCATCACGAGTGTTACCATATTACTTATTAACATTATTCAAAATTGTTATATGATGTATTTATTTTTACTTAAATGCCATCTTGTACAGTAGCAAATAAGTTTTACTTCAATCGCGTGTGAACTTTACGCGCACTCTTTTTTTTTACTTTTTAGATTCTTTGAACAAATATTTATCAACAAATGCTACATAATTACTATATTGCGATAAATATATGCATAAATTGATAATTAACTCCTCTACTAAAATATTTACTAAAGTACTTACTGCTTGAATAATGTCACTTGTATTCAATGCGATATGCTGGACACCAGCCCCACCATAGTACTCTACATATTCTTCAATTTGACTCTTCCTCTTGCCTGGTGCTGGTTCGTTAATTGGCATCTGAAATTTGATTATTTTGTTAAAATAAATTTCAATATATAAAAAATATGATAAAAGCAGAAGTTAAATTTTTGGATACCTTCACAGTTTCTTCGTAATTCGTCATTACAATGGATCTGAGAGCAGAGTACTCTGTGTGAATTTGAGAATCATCTACAGACCAAAATCTATGGAACTGAAGTGTTTTTTCGTACCTAAGAATATAGAAAACTATTAAAATGATTGTGATTTTTCAAATGATTATTTAAAGGATTATAAAATTATTTAATTAGAAAATTAAGATTACAAATAAATAAAACATTACAAACCATTTAGCTGCATCTTCCATCTGCAAATCAGGTTGGTTTCCGACGACATGATCAATAAAGTTCAGTTTAGCTTCAGGTCTGAAAGAATATGTTCAATGTATTTTTGAATCTCATAAAAATTAAATAAATGTCTCACTAGAAACTTACAATAATTTGCATAATACATCTTCATATAAAGGTTTCTTGTATCCAGGCAAGAATAATCCTTTGTAGCCATGTCGTTCAACGAACGTGTGCGTTGTGTCACCGTACTATAAAGATATCAATATTAATACAAATTATAATTGGAAGGAGTTTAAATTTTATGGAAATACGTACTGTTTGCACAACTGCAAATCTAACTTTTCCAAATTCGTCTTTTTCTTCCCAGATGTCTTTAACAATCTTAGCACCGCGTTCTTTCGCAGTCTGTGAAAAGATTTAAAATAGATTAGTAACTCATTAATTAACTAACTGAAGAAGGTGTTCATATTTTCTCCAACAAATGATTTTCTAATTGTTTGTTCTCGTAATGTTTCATGTTATTCTGAATCGTTTTGCACCAAAAAATTGAAAAAGGAAGATTAATTAGTAGTGTGTCCCTAAGCAAAAGATCATAAAGTCCTTGCAACATCAAAAAATTGAGTAATAATTAAATATACTTTCTGGATATAAAATATAAACTAGTGGGGAGCATGGCATCGTGCCTTAATGCAAATTACTGGAACTTCCCGTACCAAAAATTATTATTTTTTTAAAAACATTAACATTGTTGAAAAAAAATATACTTCGAACAAATTAGATTTTTAAGAAACTGTAAATTTGACAAAAAATACTTTTTTTTTTAAAAAAAATTTTGACATATTTTGGAAATTTTGAACTCTTTTTCAAAGCAATTGTACTGTTTTAACTGCATAGAGACGAAATGTCAAAGCGCGTAAGCGTCGCGCGCCGTCAAACGGATAAACATTGGTACGGAACCCATAGGAACGTAAACAAAATTTACACTTATTATCAAAATCTCTGTAAAATATCTGATAATTTGATGAGCATATGTCTAATGATCATTTTTGACCGCCAAATGGCATTTTTTTTACTTTTTTCACTAGATCTCCGAAACCGCTAGAATTGCCTTCATGAAAATTTGATCAATTCTTCATCTTGTCAATACAAGTAAAATATTTTTTGAATTATTAAAATCGGACGCTCCGTTCTCTTAAAAACCAAGTTACCATTTTTGGCACATTTTGTCCCGTATCTTCGAAATGGCTAGACCCGCCTTCGCCAAAAACTAATCAGCACGTCTCCTTATCAATACAAATCGAATGTTTTTTTGAATTATTCAAATCGCTTCATCCGTGTTCCCAAAATCATCGACGAAAATTTATACACGCACACACGCACACACAAACATCCATTTTTTCTAAGGTATGCCAACATGTTCAGAAGGATTTAAAACGTAAAGATATATAAAAATTTTCATTTTCGATTTTTTTGCGATTATTATAACTTGCCCTACGGGAAGTTAACAAAATAGTGTTCATACCTGTACTATGGCATCTAAATCTTCAACAGCAAAAGCGACATCCTTGGCACCATCTCCATGCTTGACCAAGTGACGACCTAATTCTTCGTTTCCAGGTTCGTAGGCAGATACAAACACAAATACTATCTGTAGTATTATTAAAATTAATAATTTTTTATCCATATTTCTATTACGAATGATCAAATTCAATGAAAATAATTACCTTATTTTGTCTGACTACATGTTTGGCTAATTTCCTAGATCCGGTTTCCAATCCCTGATATGCCAGGGGTTCGAAACCCATGCGAGTGCAATAGTAACTGGCTGCTTGTTTAGCATTTCCTACCCAAAATGTGATGTGATCGAAATTCAAAAATTTACCAGCTTTTGGTTTTGGGCCTTTATCTGTGTAGGTCGTCTAAGAATAAAGGATTCGAAAATTAAATGATTAAATTATATATAGGACTAGATTTGGTTAGTAAATATTATATATAATCCATTGATCCTATGGCATTCATTCTTTCATTCAATAAACGTGTCTTTCTATATTTTTAACTTATTTATTTCAACAATCAGATTATCTTTGAAACCCATAAGTTGAAATTAGATATTTAGAAAATTAAAACAGAAGAAAAAAAATACAAGAAAAGCATAAAGAAAATAATAGAGTAAGTCACAAAAATTATAAAAAAAACTTGTGTGCACATTTTTTAATCAATAAGCAAAAAATTATTATTTAAATGTAAGATAAGTAAATAAAAATTATGACAAGTGAAGATTATTCAAATAAATTAAATCATTCAAATTTAACCAGCAGTATAACATATCAATATAATAATTAAAAATATGAATTTAAGTACTAATTTATTTTATGAAGCCATTGAATAAATAATTTAATAAAAAAATCAGTATAAAATCGAGTAAAATGAAACCTGTTTGAAAATCCATCAAATTTATAATCCATAAAAAACTGCTGGAGTAAACACATTTAATATTATTTGCACAATTCCCGCTAAAATAATCTTTGTTTCTTTACCACACACTTCAATAAATTTCATAGCACTCACCATTTTTCCAAAATGAAAAATCTACAAATAATTGAAATTAACACAAACGTTCACCTAGAAGGTCTACTTCGAAATGCGCGCTCTGCATCGACTGTCGGAGTCTTTATAAAGATTTTGGAGCTACGGTAGATGGAATCTGTCGAGCCCCCTGCATACCGATTGGCTCTTGATAAATGCACGTGTACTCAAGGGCAATGTTAGATATTTGAATTTGATTTCGTTCTGTAAGATATTTATTGATAATTACACGAGTCAGGTAAATATAAATGATTCATTTTGTTTGAAAACATGCACTAGTACTTTTAAGACATATGCATGTATATAATATATAATTTATTGTGTGAGATGCAAACCAAAAACTTACCTACACTGTAGACTTTCACTCCAAACCGCTCTATTCCATTCTTGTTTTTAAGTTTTTTGAAAATTTAATATTTCTGCGTGTCGAAATATTTGATTACATCTATTTTTCTTTTTTCTCGCAGGATTTTTCCATTCGTTGGTGAACTTGCCATTTGTCCTTTAGTCTTGACATATTTTTCTTAAAGGGCATCATCCAGCAACCACTCTTTTTGCAAAATTGATTAGATGCAAATTTCTCAGAATTTCAAGATTTGGTCAAGTATACTTACGCCTTTCCCAATTTTTCACAATGTTACTATTCTTATACATTTTTGTTAGTTGATTCTAGCTTACTTATATCCCATAAAACTCTAAATTCTTGAAATAATGGCATTCTCTGATGCATTCAATATCTAATTAAGCCATATTAGCACAAAATTTATATCATGTTTGGCTAAATATTTCAAAACTGGTACAAAAGAAAGCAATTTGAGCAGTTTTTGAAACATGCCATTAAAATCAAATTTAATTATACAAATTCTAAATGAATAAAGGTCCTAGAATATTTCTGTATTGAATAATAGAGTCGTAAACGTGCAAAATTATAATTAATTTATTAACTTCCTTAATATAAATAATTTATTAAATTAGTTATTGTAATCGTCCAAAAATCGTAATTATAATTTTTTTACATTTATTCAAGTTTTGAAGGTTTCTAAACATTTTGGCATACCTCAGAAAAAATTTATGTGTGTATGTATGTATGGATACAATATTTCGTCCACGTTTTCGGGCGCACTGATCAACCAATTTGAATGGTTAAAAAAACATTCGATTCCTAATGATAGGGAGATGTGCTGATTAGATTTCGGAGATACAGAGCAAAGAGTGCAGAAATAAGAAATTGAGTTTTTGAGAGAAGAAGCATTCGATTTGAATTATCCAAAAAACATTCAATTCGTAATGACGAGTTTTGGCAAAGGCAGGTTCAGCCGTTTCGGAGATACCAAGCCAAATGTGCAAAAAGTTGCAGTTTTTAAGAAAACTAAGCATCCGATTTGAATGATTCAAATTCAGATTCTGCTTGTGTTGATGAAACGATTGCTTTTGAAAAAAAATATTATTATTATTTCTTTAATTTTTTTAATATCGAAAATAAATCGAATTTTAACTTTTTTTCAAGCTAAAGCACTAAAGCCCACAAATATACTTCAAATAAATAGTTTTAACTTTGCAACTCAGTTTATATAATACTTATAAATATTAGACAATGTTCTTCATTTTTTTAAAGTCGATTGATTAAGTTTTATTTATTTAGTTTTCTGTAAACATATATAAGTTACAGTATTTATAATAATCTATTTGAAAACATTTAATATTCCTCAAACGTGTTATAACGGTATGGGAAGTTCCAGCAATTTTCCTTAAGGCACGATTCCTTACACCACTAGTTTTTTTTGTTTATTTGCGATGGATATGAATCAGGAATTATTAAGTACTTTTAAAGTAGTAGCTATAAATACGAATAATTCTATCAATAAATATAAAATCCAATTATGCATTGTTTTTTTTAATTAAATTTAATAAATAAAAATCAAGTAAATATTTAGTAGGTACATATTTTGAAAAATATTAAAGTATTACAAATAAAAAACTTTTTCCAGGGTGTAAATCCTGCTAAATTTGGTGATATTTTTAACGTTAATAAACTAACAGTATTCCAAAAACAGTGCATAAATTTACAAATAAATGTTAAATTCGAACTATATATGCATATAGGCTTCTTCTCGTGTGACATAACAGGTTCCAATTTTGAATACTTTTATTTGAATTAATCAAGACTTGTTCTAACTGTACAGAAATGCTGCACGGTTTCCATGCAAGAATATAGATTCGTATATTTCTCAAGAAAATATAATTTAACTAGGCGCAAGTAAAATTTTGACTCACGGCAAGATTACAAATAATTACGACATAAACTGTCGTAAAACATAAAACCTTATCAGCACGATTCCTAACTCATATCTTTCAAACATTTTTTAAATTTCCAAGTAAAAGTACAGTAGAAGGTACAGCAGAAGTTTCACTAAAAAAAACGTAGAAATTTTGTTTTTATTCTTTTCTATTAATTTTCAAGAAGCGGCTAACCCGATCATAATAACCAATACGTGTTCTTAACGGCTCGTTAAAATCGCTATCAAATGGCTTTCAACCTTTTAAACACGATGGAGCATTTTTTGAGGAAACACCGACGAAGGGTCAAATTTAGGCTCGCATACACGCACGCGATTCAGAATGACTTGTAACGTAGAAAAAACTAAATAAAATTAACTAGCGAAATAAATAAAAGACTATAACGATATGATAATAAAATAAACTATATTACATATAAACTAGTTGAAAGTGGCATTTTTCCTTAAGGCAAGTTGCAAAAACTTCCCATAGATAACATTTTCAACTGTTTATTTCGGAATTCAAGTTTTCGCTTTCAATTAAATCTGAACATTGCGATTTCCAATTGAATTTTCTCAGTCGCCTTTATAATATCTGTAATTATATTAATTATAGTGCACAGACACGTTGTATGTCCTAAAATTGTAGCTTATTATTATTCCAAAATTGATTCATATAATTCAACCAATTTTTGTAGGACTGTTTAGTGCATGAACTTCATCGCCATGTTAACTTTCATGAAAATCTTCGAAATATTTTCTTTTAAAAAACTGAATAAATTATTTTGTGTAATATTAAGCATTTATTCTAGCTATTATTTAATTAGTTAAATGAATGGTAACATTTTTTACAAAACTAGAGAAGTTTTATAGACTGTTCATTTTCTTTTTGCTAATTCCAAAGCTATTTCTAATTGACTTGACTGATTTATCACATCATAAAAGAGATCTTTGACACAAATTTTGACTATAATATTTTTTCAAACCTTGATTAATTTTCAAAACAAAACTACTTGTAGTAATATTTCAGTATGTTCTATAAGACCAGGATGTCTATCGTCAAAACAAGTTTCGTAAAAATCTGCAATTTTTTTTTAACAGTTAATTACAAGAAAACGGCTCAATAGATCATTACCTAAAACTAATCAGTATCATGCCCAACCAATAACTTTATAACGATTTTTGAATTCTCCTTCAGAAAGTTAATAATATATGCAATCCTAAAACCTAAACTAGCTGCATACTACATAGGAAACTAGTGGGGGTGCATGGCATCGTGTCTTAAACCAAATTGCTGGAACGTCCCGTACCGTAATCAAAAATCTTGGTACGGAACCCAAAAATGTACAAAAAATGTGTACACATTATTAAAATCTCTATAAAATATCTGATAATTTGATGTACATATGTCTAATAAACATTTTTGACATCCAAATGATATTATTTTAACTTATTTTTATTGAGAGTCCATAACCTGCCTTCCCAAAAATTTAATCAATTCTTCAACTTTTCAATTTTCGATTTTTTTACGATTACTATAAGCTACCCTACGGAAAGTTAATAAAGTAATTTTAAGAAGTTTGATATTGAAATAATCATCTACACTTATCTCACAATAAATGGATTTTTAATGACGAACTCCTACATCTGGCGTCGAATTAGTTCATTTACATTGGGCAACAAATATCTTACAATGATCTTACTTTCATTTAACTATATAGGGTTGCAAAATCTGTACTCATGCAGATTATGCTAGATCTGATTGAAATAAGTAATTGCTTGCCCTTTGTTGGATTTTATTGTTCTTACTATAAATGTGGCGCTTAGCATATTGCAAATTGATCACGTTGATAGTTCGTGAATTGAATTTTTAAGTGAAACGATATAACTATTCGTCAAAATATTTCCCTGCAAAGAACCGGTCAAACTAGAGTCAGCTTTTCCCCTTCTGCGCGACACATGAGCATAAATATCTGCTAAAGTCGTTTCTTGTGCAATCGGGGACTTGATAACATGCTAATTAGGTAATATTCATCTCCTTTGATCGAAAATAATACGCTTCCGTGTTATAATTATATACACCAAAATATATAAACAGATCGAAAACGTAGGAATGTTGATCAAGTTGATCAAGTGTTGCCCGATCAAATCTTATACGAAAACATATGACTTAACCCTTTCCACTCGGATGCCGCCGGCGGCAAAATACATACTAATTCAGGTATTAGCGAGTGGAAAGGGTTAAAGATATAATGACAAATTTTAATTGTGAATAAGCTGTTTGCAGCACCAAACTCAATGCTTGCAAGGAAACACAAAAGTAGTTTTAAATTTTGTTATAGAGTAAAAGGTGACCATATTTTTTTAAGCCAATTTTTAGTTTTGCTAACCCGGGGCAGGAGAACGAGGGGCGGGGGAGAGTCATCATGCTAAATAGATCAAATATAATATCAAATATTAAATACTTTATCAAAATACAAATCTGTCTTTGTAAATCAACCTTTTTTAAGCATTACTGACTAATAAAAATAATAATAATAATAATACCATTAATTCCATTATTTGTTATATAAAATCTTACAATCTATATATTTTTTTCACTTTTGAGCCTAGTATAATATTTTATTCAATTTTCTTCAGAATTATTTCTGATTTTCGCCTAAACAATTTAATCAGCACAATTCCAAATTCATATCTTTTAAACAGCTTATGAATTTTCAAATCAAAACAGTCTATGGTACAGGTTTTTTGGGAGATAACAATGACGAAAAATGTTACGCTCACCTATTTAATATAAAAATATGGCTCATCCGATCGTCGCAAAAAAGTAATCAACGCACTTACTTCTCAGAAATTGAACTTTCTTGACAAAATAGCTTTAATATATTTGAAATAGGTGCAACCGTGTTTGAGGAAACATTGACCAAAGATCAAATTTTGGATAACATACACATTATTTATACTTTTTCCTATAGTGATTTCATAAGTTTCAAAATGACTAGAAATTTTAATGAATCTAAAATATAACTAGTGGGGTGCATGGCATCGTGCCTTAAGGCAAATTGCTAGAACTTCCCGTACCGTAATTAAAAATCTTGGCACGGCACGAACACTTTATTAAAATCTCTAAAATATCTGATAATTTGATGTACTGATGTACATATGTCCAATAAACATTTTTGACCGCCAAGACATTTTTTTTTACTTATTTTTATTGAGAGTCCATAACCGCTGGACCTGCCTTCTCAAAAATTTAATCAGTTCTTCATCTTGTCAATAAAAGTAAAATGTTTTTTGAATTATTAAAATCGGACGCTCCGTTCTCTTAAAAACTGAATTACCGTTTTTGGCACTTTTTGCCCCGTATCTTCGGAACGGCTAGATCTGTCTTCGCCAAAAAATAATCAGCACGTCTCCTTATCAATACGAATCGAATGTTTTTGGAATTATTCAAATCGGTTGATCGGTGTACCCTAAATAGTCGACGAAAATTTGTGTCCGTACACACACACCCATATCCATTTCTTCTAAAGTATGCCAAAATATTCAGAAACCTTTGAAACGTAACGATATATGAAAATTTTCATTTTCGATTTTTTGCGATTATTATAATAACTTGCCCTACGGGATATTAAACTTTTGGAAGTGAGATTAATTATGTCAAACGTGACCCTCAAAATGTAAATTCATATTTGAGTATGTTTTTTATATATATCGTACATATGCTATATCTTTATAGACACATATCTGTGTTAACTTACACCTAAAACAAGATATATTAATTAATATATAAAATTTAGTCTACAAAATTTTGCAACTGGTCTGAAAACATATATAGTTGTAATTATAAATTACAACTTGTAATAAATATGTACTTGTTTACACCCTTCAGTAGGCAAGTTTAACTTGCACTTCATATTATGTGATCAAGTTATAGAACTTAGGTTTAAAAAAAATAATACGACACTATAGGACAATTATTAAAAACGTAAAAATTTGCCTGATTTATTATTTAATCAATCTTAATCTATTCTGAACGGTATTTCATTTACGAAAAGGGAATTTAAAATCCAATAACAGCGTGCAAGATAGGTATCATTTTGCGACATAGTTAAGATAATGATCATTCATTAAATTTTAGCTTGATTCCGTTAGAATTACATTCCGATACGATTTACTACAATCTTACAGAATATAGAAAACTGTCAAGATAAAACAAAAAATTCTAGGCAAATAATATTCAAATATTTAAATCTGTGTAATTACTACATTTAATTAAAGAAAACCTGGCTTTTCGTTTTTAGTCATTTTATTTCACGGGGTATAAATGTAAATTAATTCTTAGAATATTCATTGCATACGAACAAACACAATACTATAATATTCAACTTTTATAATTCTTATTACACAATAAGTAAGAAGAGAAGTAAAGAAATGTGAAATTTAAGTACAGCTGATTTTACAATTCTTGTGTTGTTTTTTAATAATATTATGAACAAATGTTTTTAATTTTGATTTTGGATTAATTTGAGCAATTATTCTGATCTAAAAGTCAGATTTTGAAATTAAATTATTAATTATGAAGTTGATTCCGTAAGTCATCGACTATCGCGCGATTCTAGTAAAACTAGTTTCAATGCAAAGCTGTTGTTTATCCGACCAAACGAGAAAGAAATTTACATGTAATTAATTCACTGAGCGAGGCAATTCTTAATATCAAAATGTACAAAAGCATATTAATTTTTCTGATGAAACTACATAGCAACTAAATAAATATTTTAAGTGGATTTAATTTATTTCAAAATATCCTCATAACCTAATAAGGGCACATATTATATTATATGATTGATGTGATTCATAGATTACAATCCTTTGATTCATTTTTAAAAATTATACTAATTACACTAATCAAACGACATTACAAAAATCAGTTAAAAAAGCTGGACATATCAATGAATCAAAATATGGCTAATAAGAGTTAATACAGTTCGGCATATTATTCTTATTGATGATAAATATAAAAAAATAAACTAATTCACGTTAATAATCTCATTTTGTAATTAAGAATTTACATAGCACAAAAAATAAATCCTAATTAAAAATTTTCAGCTTTCTTTGCATCGAGTAGAAACCTAAGGGTGCATTACTATAAATAATAATGGAAAAGTTTCGGAGTTGTATCTAAAATTGAAGCAAAAAGTCTGTTTAATAGTTCGAGTTTCTGGATATATCCATAGTGTGTTAAATTTATGGATCGATTCTGTCGTATAACTGACAAATGGTATGGCAAGGCCATAAAGAACTTTTCAGACTAAATATTGACAAAAGCCATTGTGGTTTCTATCACGCGCATTTCTCAGGTTGTCAGATAAAAAAACTATCCTAGAAACCGCACAAATGTGAAAAAAACTATCTTAGATAACAGTGTCTTTCTGACACAGCTTCATAACATACGAGTGACGTTGCAGTTTATGTGTAAAACGCCCGAATGCACAGCAAATACATGAAATTTTGACAGTATTCAGTATGATTCAGTAGCATAATGTATGGAAGCTGCAGCGTAACATGGCCTTGCCATAACATTGGTCTGTTGTGCGGCAGAATCGGTCCTTTAATCATGAATTTATAACCAGAATGATTTCATTTTTCATACGATGAAGCTATAAGTCAAATGTACTGTAATATATTACGTTAGTGAGGAGTTAATATTTATTTTGATTGATTGATAATCGTTTCTTGTAAAATATTGTAATCTATATACCAGCTTTGAGAGAAATATTTTACTAGCTAACATATTATTATAAGTAACTCAAAATACTCATGCCCATCATAGTGTATAAACAAACACTTATAAGAGTAACAAATTGGTATGGCTAAATTTTGTCCCAACACTCATTTTATTTTCCACTTTATTAAAAATTATTAATTTGTCCTATTACTTATTTTATTTGTTATTTAACTAACTTATCGATATTTGAAAATAATCAAATTAGTAAGGATTGAGAGTTTGCAACTTATCAAATTATAACGATCAATTTTAAAATTTTGACCCTGCCCATTTTTCAAAAAATTAGTTATATCATAGACTCATTATTTTTTAGAATGTTCGATAAAACTATGACCTTTAAAAATATCAAGAAAACAACAAAATCGTTATTTCATTTTCAACTATAAATTACGAAGAAAAGACCAAACCGATCTGCATCAAAAACTCATCAACCCAAATCCCAAATCATATCGGCCGAACTTTTAAAATCAGTTCTGAATTTTTTGCTAGCATAAAAATAAGAATAATTACGCACTTGCCAGCTAATTGTATAGATATCGACTCGGCCGATAATCGCGAAAAATTTTTCGCCCTTTTTGAGGAAACTCAAACGCACACAGGAACATAGTTTTTTTCAATTTTGGTCTTAAGCGATTCAGAGAGACATTTAACGCCGAAAAACAATGTTAGCAAGTCAAATTTCCTCTTTCGCAAAGGTAAACATTTAATCGCAATATCAAAGAATAAATTAGTAAAGTGCGAATACATATTTCCTTTTAATTATTATACATAAACCAGAACATAATCAGCAAAATATTTGATCAAATAAGAAAAAATCTGAAAAGATCGGTCGAATCGAGAACACAGAAAACATTCATAATTTTTATTCCGTACGTAAATACACTATAATTTATTTTTTTATGATTGAATGCGTACTTGGTGATTGTGATTGCTGCCTGTGTGAATGTGTTACGACCTAGATGATCTAAGTATTCTCGCTTTTCCTTCCCCGAATAGCCACATGCAAATCCTGTCCACGAGATAGGCAAAAAAGAAATCAGCAAACAACACTTGAACCAAAACCAGACGAAACTGGGAATGAAAAATTAATAAAGCATTAGAGGAGACAATCTAAAAAAATTTATTATATGAGAAGTCTGGAAAAAATGACATTTTGTTTCATTTTTTAATGATATTTGTTTATTTATTGATATTATAACCAATCCTCAATAGATTTTACTCATCTTTGGTTCATTGTCTACAAGTAACATAGTTTTGTAAATATGCCCATATAGTGCTGACAAAATGACATGCAGAGTAAGGACATACTGAGATGCCGATTTTTAAGAAGGCAATTCGCAAATGAATTCTTTGGCCCTCTTTGAGACATCAGCACATGACGAAGGAGCCCAAACTGAGCAAATTGGAACATCTTAATCAACTTTCGCTTGATATAAGTGCAAGTCTCTTCATTTTAACTGTGGAACCTTTTGTTCTGTTTTCAGAAGTAGTTAAAACAAAAGTTGAAAGATCATAACCTTTGACAGGTTTCAATGTAATTTTTTCTTGGCACCAAATGAACTACCCTGTAGCTTTTGGGAAATAGTCATCATAGGTCATTTTATCATCATTTGCCTACTATGTCATTTCGTCCATTGTATAATTAAGTCATTTTGTCCGAAACTGAACAAAAATGAATAATTTTTCAGAATGTTTAAAAAATGCAACTGTATTGTTTTAGCTTTATATACCATTTTGTCCATATTTCCCCTATCATTTATGAAAAAAATGACGATACACATTTGAAACTACGTAATTATTCTTCAAAAACACGACTCAAATGTTAGAATGTTTTTAAGTTAAATGTAGAAGTACTTTAGTCCGGCTTGCTCGGAACCGACCCTCTGTATCGGACTATCGAAAATTCCAGACTATCGGGCGATAATTATAAAAACTGTTTGGTTGATAATTAAACTACAAATTTAATAGTAAATACAAACAAAGCTTATTTTACATATATTTGAATATATATTAGGCTTGTACCGAATATTTGGTTACTATTCGGTATTCGGCATCTTTTTCAATATTCGGCCGTATACCGAATAGTTAAAATCAATGGCGCCGCCGCCGCCGCTCAGCGACGGCATTGTTGGTGTTTTATCTTTTAGTTTATTTAACATGATATGAATTCGTATTGTATATATAATAATTTAAACTTTATCGATTTTTGATATTATAAATGATCACTTAAAGGACTTTTTTCAGAATATTCACTAGATACTTTATTGTTACATGTTTATATTATTTAATGAATCATTCAATGATTACACGCATGTCTTGTATGAATTGACGACAATATGACTGACTTTCTTATATTAACATAAGAAAGTCAGTCCTTCATTATATGAAATCTAAGCATACTAAATAAAGAGCCTTTATTGACTCTTTATCGCAAAATATACAAGCAATATTTTTGGTCATTTTTAATTTATTTTGATATGATTAGCATTCCTGATATAAAAAATAATATTGAGTTTATAAAAGAAAATATTAAATGTTTACGAAAGAAACAATTGGAAACACATTGACATATATGTAAACAATTGCTTTTTTCATAATTTTACTATTTAGGTATTCCTCATCACATGTGGCATTCGAGTATTCGGAATTCGGCCGAATAGTATAAATGGTGCCAAATATTCCAAATAATAAAGAGTAGCAGAATAGTGGTTGCAAGTCTAGGCATAAAACTTGAATGAACATATAGCGCGTTAGCAATAACAATTACTGATAGTAACGAGCTTAAGTGCCAAAAACCTGCCGAATATTCGGTATTGGGTCTTTGAAGTATGCCGAATATACCATTCGTTGCAAGCCTAGTATATATATATATATATATATATATATATATTTAACAAAAAACATTTTTAATTTTCCTAAAAAATAAAAATTTGATGGTTTCTAGCCGTTAGATAATTTCTGGTTTTTGGTTGAAATATCTTTTTGAATACCAAGTTTTGAATATTATGTTTTGAAAACATGGTCACTGCACAGTTAGATGATTAAATCTATTGATATGTGTGTATTGTGCCGTGTATTCAGTAGACTAACTTAAAAAATAAAAGGCCGAATCCTTCGTAGAACGTAAGGGTTACGTATATCGTACATGCTTCGTTCATGAACGTAGAGACAACAGAATTTATCATAAATACAACGATTATCGAATAATAGCGAGTTCTTTCGAATAATTCCGAACCACACAAAAAACGTTCTAATAGCCCTCGAGCGTTTTATTTGCTATAAAAGCATATTTTTGAAAGAAACTTTCAAAGAAATGCCGGACTATAGGACATTCCATGCTGTTGGGTGCCGGACTAAAAGACTTCTACTATATAACTATAAAATCATAATCACATTTTGCCTTTTAACCCAATAAATTATACTAGCCTTATAGATAAAAAAAATATCTATGACGTAAATTATGAACTGTGGACTATTATATCTTTGATCATGGGTCATGACTTAGTTTAATAATGAAATTGTTCAATTATAATTCCTGGAAGTACAATTTTTAAAGTATCGCAAAAAATAAACGAAATTCAACCAATCTTTCATCAATTCTTGAAGGCAACGCTTTGTTTATCAGATATAAAAAGTTCATAAATAATATTTACCTCAGCAGGAAAATCAACTATTTCAAATTGTTCAGCTAAATCTGGAAGAGCACCTGCAGCTAACGCAAATACCGCACCTCCAGAAGCTAAAATACTGTACAGTAAAGCCTTATGCTCTCGCAATGATTGCATGAATGGAGGTCCCTGAAAAAAATGAAAAAACAAAAATGTTATGTGAAATATATGAATAATTTCTTATACTTGCAACTCAATATCCATGATAAGGAAATATTTTCTGAAAAACTAAAAATCTTTTTTTTTTTTCAAAATTACATTTTGTTTTGCTTGAAACTTTGATAGCATGGCTAAATATTAAAGTTACTAATAACATGGTTATAATAAAAATGTAATTGCTTACCCGGTAATTTATAGCAAATGTAGAAACTTGCAATGCCATTGAAATAATGTATACTGTGGAATTAAGTAGTGAAGGCACAAATGGTTCATCCTCTTCCACTTCTACACTGAGTTTTACTTTTGGTTTTTCTATACTGAAATAAAATGCAGTTGAATAATTATGTAAATTATAATAAGAACTTTAGGTCTTAAAATTTCTGTACAAACCTTTCAGGAGTCCTAGCATGTGCTTGTTGAACCAAATAAACTAAACAACAGAAATGCACAGCAAATTGGGATAAAACAGTCAAAATAGTATATGCATTAAATATATTAGGCAGTGGGCGTTGTCTTGATAAAGTTTTAAGAGGCTGTAAAATAAGGCTATACGTTAACATGTATAGTTTATTCATTTAAATGATTAGTTGAATGATAATAATAATACACTCGTATGTTGCACATGTATGTTATAACATTAGATTATGATTGTACAACACAATTTGGGACAACATGTATCTATAAATACAATTTCTGGTAAAATTAGTTATATATGACATTGCTATTTTTGGCAGTAATACCTACCTTAGATCGGCTAATGAATAAAAAGCAAGCTGCCAGTAGAAGTCCTTGTAATGTCGCTTGACCATCACTAAATTTAATACCATCAAGATAAAGAACAGATTGACTGTATGCTAAAATTAATGCATTTAGCGCAAGAATTTTGAACATCTGAAGAGTTGTGACCAATGTGCATCTGCCTTGTTTAATTATATGACAAACTGGAAAAGAAAAATCAAATGAGAAGCGCTATCTGAAAAATCTTAAAGCAACATGCATCCATTTGAAAAATGTTATAATTCAATTTTTGCTGTTATTATTTTGATTGTATTTTTTGTTGTATATTTTAAAGGAAAGCAGATGCTACCTAGAATATAATTTACTATTTAATTAGAATTGTTTATTTTGAAAATTTAAATTTTTATACATGCTACTTTTGTTAGAAATAATAATTAATTACATATTTTATTAATTACTTACTGCATTGAATTGAAGATAATTTACTGGTGAAGGGAGCAGCTATACTGGCATCGCCAAGTTTGACAATGGCTACTTGATCCTCGTCCAATTCTCGCATTATTTTATTCAATTTTTCTTGTGCCTCTCGTTGCCTCTGTTGAGCTGATAAAAGTGGGTTGAGTTGCTGATTAGGTTCAGTTAGACTCCTCAAATTAGCGCCGTGTACTGAAGAAGCATTTCTCCGTTCGTTGACTGCTTTTTGATCATATAACAGAACATACTTACTTACATAACAAAAAACAGTTGGAAATATTTTTATAATTTTTTGGTATAAGTAATTTGATTATTAATAACATGAAAATTTCTACAATATTACTTGGACAAATCAAAGACAATAAAATCCTTAGTATCATACTATGACTTACAATCGCAAATGGCCTGACTTAAGAATCTTTCAAAATACGAGCCGCCAAAGAAGCGATTTGTTTATTCGACATATGAGCAAAATTTGAGATACAAACTTTGAGCCAGTAAGAGTTTTGTAGAAAAACATTAATGGCAAAATGAAAATATAAAAAATTTCGCTGTTGTAGCAATGATTTTCTTGTCATAAAAATATTTTAGATGTTTTATAATAGTAAATTATTCTATAGTTAGTCATTTCAATTGTGCAGTAACAATTAACCCACATGTAATCCATTAAAGGATTACATGTCTAACTCATTTCTGCAATATCATGAATGAACAGGTAACAATACATATTTTTTTTATAAAAATAAAATTATTTTTAATATTCAAAAAACTTGACAGAAAATATAGTGCTTGAACAAATTAATGGCCTTTCAATGTATTTATATGAAAAAAAAAAATTGCTTTGAGATATGAGCAATTTGACATATGAGCGTGGTAATGTAATGAATTAAACTCGTATATCGGTATATCGCTGTATTTGTCATTAAGATATTGAGAAACATTAAGAAATATTGGTTCAAATTACCTCGATCTCTAAGTTTATCTTTAAGTTTAAGATCATCTTTGCTAGGCAATCGCTCAGGAGCATTACTAAGAATAGCAACTCCCACATGGGCATGTTTCAGAGCACCTACATCATTTGTTCCATCTCCACACATCAATGTACTATATCCCAAATTTTTCAAAGAGACTATTACATATTCCTTTTGTTTAGGTGAAAATCTTGCAAATACAACTATGTGAGGCAGCAAGTTACCCAACAAAGTATTATGATGTTCCTATAAAAAATAAATCATATAAAAATATTTATGGTATACCTAAATTACAAAAATTCATATATATTTTTTTACTTTGTATTATTATAACAATTTCGTATTATATTTTCTTTGAAAAACTGAAGATAAATGTAAATCCAATATAAAAGTAACAAGTAAGATTAAAAACATTACCTGAAGGTAAACAAGACCTTCGCCAGTTATACATAAATCATAATTACTTGTTAATTCATTAAAGTCATGTTCAACCCGCAGCTGTAAGGTTCCATCTATAGATAGCCATCTAAAAAAATAATTAAATTTATAGGTAATAAATTTATAAATGATGATATGAGAATTAATTGCAAAATACTCAACCTCCATTGTTCAGATGTTTCAGTCAGAATTAAAGTCTTTGTTTTTTGTGTAAATTTCAATTCTTTTGCAACATGACAAGCAGTTAAAGGATTATCACCTAAAAAAATATAATGTAATAATTAAAATATAATTATATATATATATATATATATATATATATATATATAAATATTTATTACCAGTTATCATAACAACAGCATGTGACGAGTTAACAATTTCTTTGATGACACTCTTTGAATCAAGCTTCAATGGACAGGATATTATTACAAAGCCAGCAAATTTAAATTCTTTCTCCACAGATTCACGATTTAAATCTCTAAGTTCTGCTGATGTTAAACTTCCAAGTGATCTCCAACCCAGAGCCAAAACACGAGCACCTCTCCTTGATAAATCTAAATAAATCTTTAAGAGCATAATTTTATTATCCTGAGTATCATGTAAGATGAATTTGAGCAAAATATTTAACACTTTATTAACAAATTTATGCAATTTCTGCAATGTCATCAAATCATATAATCATCAAAATTTTCTTATTTGCAAAATATATATAAATATTATTTATAAATAAATTATATATTATGCTATCATTTCATTTCATTATTAAAAATTATGCTATCATTTCATTTCATTATTAAAAATTCATTCTGATACCTTTTCATAATCCTCAGGAACTTCGACAAACATACTTTTTAGGGTTTCTGGAGCTCCTTTAATTGTTGCAATATACATTTGGTCATTTGAATTTGGAACATTATAGCCAGCAACAACCGACATTCTTTTCAGTGATGATGAGAAGTGGAATCTACTAAAAATTTTCAAACCAGGACTTTTGCCTAAAAAATAATTAAAGCTTATTATATTTTTTTACAAATTTTATAGATAGCATAATAATAAATAGATATATAAAAAGGTAATGCATTTTTGACAATTTTCTCATTACTAGTGCATTAATCATCTTATAAACATTTTTTCACAATTTCAAAATTTATTGACCAACTGCTGCCAAGATCAAATATTGATATCCAATGAACAACAGTCCTCAAAACCAAAAAAACTACATAAAAAAGCTCATTAAAAAATTAACAATGTGGCCATTGTTATTTCATGATAGCAAAGGCCATTGCTATTATTTCATGATAGCAAAGTCCTTTAAGCCCGGTGTTACCGTATTATTTTTCAACATAGTATATTAAAATTTTGTACCTTTTTTGGGAATCACAGCATCAGCTTTAGTTAATGTCCAGTCAACAGCTGTTAAAGCAGCCTTCTCTAAAGGATCTCCAACCAAACCATCGTCAAGCTGAGCTAATGAGTGACAAGTAGCTAAAACTTGCAGTGTATTCATGGGGCAGGACTGTATTGGACTAACTTTAGCACCTATATAATTAACATAAAAAAAGTTAGCTAGAAGGTTTGCAGTATTTAAAAATAACCATTAAATTATAATACTCCAGACACAAGATCTACATACCCTGTTCATCTAAACCAGCTACACCCTCAACAACCAAATTATCACTGGTTAAAGTACCAGTTTTGTCAAAACAACAAATCTCAACTTTTCCTGCAAAAGGTATTCTAAAAGGTTCTGTGCAAAAAACGTTAAGTTTTGATAATGATAATAATGAGGTATTAACGGCTAAACTCAATTCAATTGGTAATTCAGGAGGCACAACTGAAGTCAATATCAAAGTGCATTCCAAAAATAATTTGTACTTGTTTCTTTCCTCATCTTCACTGCCTAGAAATGATTATAAAATAATATGGTATGTTTTATAGAGTATTTTTAAAATTTAGCCGTACCTTTCACCCAAACATACACAGCAGCAGCAACTGCAAAAATCAACAGGAATAAAATAAATCCAAATGTTTCCAAATTATTAGCAGTCACTCTCTTAACTCCAAACAAAATTGTACGCAACAGTTTTCCCTACAATATAAATTAGATTAGAACAAAATACATATTGCCCACATGATATATTGAAAAGATTGACTCAAATTTATTTTGTTTATTTTTTTGATTAATAAGAATAAAATACCTGAGAAGTGTTAAAACCAGTTCTCAAAACATATGCAACACATCCACCATCTGGTGGTCTGTTTCCTGATGTCTTGGCGGGTGGGGTATGTTGCACAACTTTTGTACCACCAAACAAAATATGCAACTTTCCTTCACCTTCTGGATCTAAAACCTTATCTTGATCAAATAATTCAACCGGCTCTTTCATTTGAGGTACAGATTCTCCTGTCAACATACTCTCATCAACTATACAAGGACCTCTTAATAGCACTAAGTCGCAAGGTACTAAATTATCATCTTGAGATCGAGTAATTGATACTTTATCACCAGGTACCAACTCATTTGACATGATCATTTTCCATTTTCTATTTCGATAGACAAAAATATTATAAGGTTTGTTTCCCATTTTACGAATTTCAGCCATATTTCGTAATTGTTGCTGCACTAGTGTACACTCAAACAAAATTAGCATGACTAACGTAAATATGGAATAGTACCAATATTTGTCAAGACACCAAAGTGCAACACAAAACACTTGAAATACAAAGAAAGGGGCAGTAGCACGCTCTTTAAATAATTCTTGGAACTCGGGTACAACCTACAAAGATTTTATTAATGAAACTAATATGCTAATTCATAAAAATATGTCTTAAAACAAATAATATGTAATAAATGTATCAAGTGAAGATATTTATAAATGTTGAGCATGATTAGTAATGATTTGTAATTAGTTTCATAATTTTTTGATCATTCAAATATAGGTTTAAGGTTCTAAATTAAGGGTTTTTAACAATACCATATCCAGCTGATTTTTGCCATATCTAGACTCAGCAAGTTGCACATCACTGTCTTCTTGGTGACCTTTAGATTCTGAATAGTAGTCTAATGTATAATTAACTGGAAATTCTATACATTTAAATTGCTTTTTATCATAGTTCCAAATATATTTAGTTTTTTGAAATATAAACCAATGTATAAATTCTTTACTACCATCTTCTTTTGTATGATATAATTTGACTATTTCGGAAAAACCATTATTAGCTGTTGGAACTACTTTTGCTATAGATGCCTCTTCGGGCCCTTTGACCTACAATATTTTGTAGAAACGACATTTTAATTAGTTAGGTTATGTTTGAATAACGATAAAAATCACGTGAATCTTGAATAAATTATATGCATCTAAAATTTAATACTGTTAAGATATTAAAAATATTAACTTACGGGTCGGCATGCGAGAAAACATTGGACGTGCACAGTCCAATAGCAGCACAATGAAACTAATATTTGAACACATCCTATTATACCTAAGCACAACCACCCTGCTTCATTATATTCCGTAAAACCATACACAAATATCCATAAATAAAATAATACTATATAAATAACTATAAAAGGTAATAAATTGCCTTGTAAATACAAGGGTAACGGTTGATATAATTTTACATAATGCACAAGATCGTCTAATTTGATATTATTTTTCCCAGTCATAGTTTTAAATTATCTTTTTAAATGTAAAAAAACAGCGTTATTGTTGTTATTCGTACAGAAATTTATTAAAAATTATAAAATGCATATTTACATACGTTGCAACAAAAACTTGCAAATGTCATATGGGTAATGTATAAAAGCGTGTCAAATATAAGTGTCACCAACACATGAAAATAAAAAAGTGAACATCATCAAAAAATAATTGAAAATTTAAAAATACATTTCAATGAAAAATTTAAAAATACATTTTACTACATTACATTATTTGGTTATTTCATTCAAAATGTGATTTCGTTCATACAAACAAACTTGTAATTTATAAAATAAACAGAAAATAGGGATTTAAAAAAAGTTGGTTGCGAACAACCACCATAAATTGACATTACATGAAAAAAGGAAAGGGCTCAATGTCGACTATAGTCACAGGAAAATTATCTTTAAAGAAATTTGAAATTTTATAGATACATTTAATTAATTGTTCGACATATCGGTAGAACTATTGCGTTCAGACTTAATTTTTTTATCAGGATCGAAATCTGGATTAACTATGTCATCGTTAATATATTGGTCCCTTTTTGTTTCTGAAGCAGATTTTTTTGTTGAGTGTTCGGTTGCGGAGGATAATTTGTCATCATTCCTATTGGAATATCTTGATACGTGCGCGGTAATATATTTATTATTTTTCTTCCAAATATTGTGATGAGCCAAATCTTCATTTCTTTTATTACGTAATTTATGCTCGATACTCCGTATTAAGTCGCTGATAATCAAATCGGCATCAGATTGCATTTGGTCAAACCTGAAATGTATGAAAAGTCAAAACAATTTATTATTCAAATATTGATATTTAAAATATAATTAAATGATATAAACATTTAAAATATAATATTAATTATTAGGAAATAAGGAATTTAAGATTCTTATGAAAATTCAAATTTATATTCAGGGATAAAAGAAGAGTGTCTAGTACGTCTGGTACGACTCTTTAGTGATCTAAAGGTCTTGCTAAGGATTGCCCGCTCGTGTTTTAATTATTTCTGGGACCAATTATTTTCGTGTTATTGTTTTATATTGCTCAATCAAAAAAATACATACGGTCCTAAATTTTCAGCATCCTGCCACAAACCACTATTTTGTAAAATCTTAGTAGTTTTTCATTTTACATCCCGCTTGATAACTGATCAATAATAATTGCTATTATTTCTCAATAAATAAGAGCTATAAAGACATCAGTTAGTTCTATTTTTTTCTAATGTTACAAGTGGCAAATTTTTAGTGTGTTTGTTATTTTCCTAGATCAACACTCATTTTTTAGACTAAACCGCGGTTCTCTTCCTAGCAACTGGAAACGAGTGGGACCGGCACTTATTTCTCTCAGTTTTATTTCGGCAGTTATGGTTGATTATACCCAACAAACGAAGTTATAATGTTAAAATTATCGACAAATTTCGATTTTATTTTGAAGAAATTTATGAGTTTGTTATGTGAGACTCAAAAAAGACATAACTTAAAAATATTTGAATTACTAAATTTATGTCTTCGTCTGAAAAGAAATGTATAAAATCACATTTTTTTGATAAAATCGTTCTTAGTGAAAAAGTGTTAGTGTATACTCAATCAAACAGGTAATTAATTCTGTTTTTAAACCTTTTTTTTAAAAACTGTCTAATTTTTTAACATTTCTAATATTTTGTTATATAATCAACTCATTTATGTTTATTACTTTCATTTTGTTTATATTGCCATATTTCTGTAATGTTATTTCAATTTAATTCATTTTATATAAAAAATCCACCATTACTTTTCATAAATATATTGTTTGTTTAAATTTTATAAGATCATGTTAAAAAAATGTTTTTTTTAAAAAAAAACTTTTCTAAATATCTACAAATCTAAAACTCTACAAACTAATATATATATATATATATATATATATATATATATATATATATAAATTTTATATTTTTTTTTGTATTTTTCCTAGTTTGATATGTACATATAACTTTTTCCTTTTTTATTTTTATATTTAATATCAACTATTGTTATTCATGTAATGTTTTTTTTAGATTGCTGAATAATAACACACGACATCTTATGCAGGGCCGGATTTAGAAATTTGGCGCCCTGGGGCACTGACAAAAATGCCGCCCCATACCTGACATTTTACTTAAATAGTTCTTATATATCTTTTTTTAAAATTAAAATAACTATTTGATTGCAGAAAATTTATTACGCATTACATACTATGAATAGTAGTGCCTTATGGCAAAGTGCTGTAACTTCTCGTATCAAAAATAGAAATTAAAAAAAAAATTGTTTTTTTGAAAACTGAAAAAAATGAAATATGTTAAAAATTTTGAACTTTTTTTAAAGCAATCGCGCTCCTTCAGCTGCGTAGACACAAAATACAGAAGCGTGTAAGCGCGATAAAAAATGTTACAGAACCCATAGAAATGTATACAAAATTTACACTTATCATTAAAATATCTATAAAATATCTGATAATTTGATGTGCATATGTCTAATAATCACTTTTGATCACCAAATGCTTCTTTTGCAATTTTTTTTATTGGATCACCGAAACCGCTAGATGTGCCTCCCAAAAATTTGAGCAGTTCTTCATTTTGTCAATACATGTACATTTTTTAATGATATTGGACGCTCCATTTCTCAATAACTGAATTATCATTTTTGGAATTTTGGTCCGAATCTTCGAAACAGTTGGACCTGCCTTGGCCAATAATTAAACAACACGTCTTCTTATCAATTGGAATCGAATCATTCAAATTGGTTAATCCGTGTTCTCGAAATCGACTTGAATAATTAAAAAAATATTAGATTTGTATTGATGGGGAGACGTTCTGATTAGTTTTTGGCACAGGAAGGTCCAGTCGTTTCAAAAAATGGTAATTGAGTTTCGATATTTCGTCTCTGAAACAGCTATGCATCGCGATTGCTTTGAAAAAAGTTCATAATTTTCAAAAAAAATCAAAATATAAAAAAGAGTTTTTTAAAGTCAATTTTTTACATTTTTCAAAAAATTTTAAAGCTCTTTATAGAATGTAATTTTCAGTACGGAAAAGTTCCAGTAATTTGCTATAAGCTTGGAAGTGCACGATTTCTTCATCTTAATGAAGATCTTAATCGAGATCTGAATAATATATTTTCCCTAAACTTTCAGCTCATTAACGAATTTTTATATTAGCCAAATTGCCGAATTTGATAATGACTTACGAGTATTAACCAATTTGATAATTTACGTTCGGAGAGGAAGGCAAGGCAAAATAATAAATTTTATTAATCGGTTATTTGAACTCAAGTTTTGCATTGCAATAGTATTATGTTTTGTTAATTTTTTTTTTCTAGAAATAAAAAATGTTATTAAAACAATCAGTTAACTATAGTATACATTGTATAGATTTTTTTTCTTGCTATCCAAATTTTGCCGCCCCCGAAAATTTGCCGCCCTGGGCAGTAGCCCCGACTGCCCCTACTGTAAATCCAGCACTGATCTTATGTGTCAAAACGTTTAATAGTATAAATAATTTTTCTATTTTAACCTTTTTTTAATTTGACGATTGGGCTGCAAAATACTTCAAATAGGTATATCAGCATATTTTTTTTATAAAACAGGATAAAGTTGATCTTATTGTTCTATTCTCAGCATTTGTAATATTGTTGCAAAATAATTTTGTTAAATTATCTATTATTATACGCTTTTGAATATTAGTTTTATAAAACAGATGAACATTTCAGAATATCACGTACTTGGTCATTCGAAAATATTTTCCATTTTTGGGCAAAACATTTATTGCACGACGCTTTTTGCCCCTGCGACTTTTACCACGTCCCTTCTTGCGTTTGGGACTCTTCCTTCTAGATTTACGTCCGCTTCTACGGCTACGGCTACGGCCACGGCCACGGCGTTTGCCCTTGCGTCTTTTAGGCGATTTGGATTTTGATCTGATAAATATATATATTTTTTATATATAGTATTATAATACACAAACAATTAAACACTAATAAATAATATTATAAATAATTATTATTAAATTTTACTAATACTAATACTATATTGTTAATATTTCAATATGCATTTTTAATAACTACTAAAGTACTTGGTTTAGCAAACATGAGAATATCTATCAAATAGGCCAGGGTTGCTTAAGTCGTACCCCGACTATATTTTGTCTGATAATTATAAATTACATCTTCTATCACCGTTAAGTTGGACCATTTATACTTGTTTATCTATGAGTCGGACTATTTAGTAGACTAAGCAAATGTTTACAATCGAAAGGCTGCTCAACTTTGTGAAATAGGAGCACTAAAAAGTAAATAAAAAGTAAAAGCATGCTGTGAAATTTCTACTATTAGATTTAGTTGTACGGCAATGATATGATTCTAATTTTTTTTCTTACTAAGTTCGGCGATTGATTAGATATATAAATAAATGGTAGAATTTGTTAAGATCAGATCAGAAGGTTTTATTTCAAACTTCAAAGAACCTTGCAGCTTAAGTTGCACTTATTATGTTTTATGATTTTTGTTTTGTTAAATACAAAGAAATATAGGTTAAATACAATTTTCATACAAGGGTTTTTATCATTTTGCTACATTTAGCTACTTTTTGAATTATCGTTTTTATATTTTAAGTATTATTTTGTAATTATTTACGACTTGGTAATTAATAACCGAAGAAAATTTGATCCCAGGCTGCATTTTATATAGTAGGTACGACTAAGGCGACTAGATTCCTAATCGTACCGAAAGGGCAGAAATACATATTTTAATAAAAAAAGAACATTTCAGTAATTCTTAATCAAAAGACCTCTAAATATAGATTCACTAAACACCAAATACTACTAATTTAAATGCACTAAAAATTATATTTTCTTAGGGGGTACAACTTTACACTAATTATGAAAAAATTTACTTACGTAAATTAAGTAAAATATAAATTTATATATATCTTTAAACATAAGTTTATGAATATATTCTTTTAATTAAAAGAATATCTTCATAAACTTATGTTTAAAGATGTACATAAATTTATACCTTTTGTGTGTGCATGTTACTAAATAAAGTAATGAAGTAGATATAAAGCAAATAGATAAAAATTAAAGCAAATAAATGATTAAAAATACAACAAAAATGTATAATGATCATTATTCAATATAAATGTATAATATTCAAAAACTGTTGAAAAACATCAACAATTTGCAATATACCGGAAGATATTTCAATTGTAAAACAAAAGTGTTGTAATAAATTTTGAAATAATGTTTTATTATTCTATCTACCTTGATCTTCTCGCTCTCGACTTTTTGCCGCCTTGCCGGTACCACCAGCAAACTTCTTTAGTTGGGAGTTTAGAAGTTTGTATATGGGCAGAGGAAGTTAATTTATAGAGGCCATCTCGTTTTGATATTAAGCCAGCTAATAAACATTTCTTAAGTGTTACTCTAACCTTAGCCTGGAAGAATGGATTGTCAATTTCGCTAATTTTAATACTTATTACATAATAGTTAGTTATAGAATTATTAGGAATAATTCAGGGCTATTAACCAAGACATTGAATTAAAAAATGAATTCTGTCATGACGCTATACGATATTATTATTACGATAATGTAACCACTTCAAGTAATAACGCATTCATAGTAATTTGTCCAAAAATAAACAAAAAAATTACTGACAGTTTATCAGCAGTATATTCACCTTAATCAATTTTGGATCTATTCCATATACAGCAGAAATGTAGTCGCAAATGCCGCTGGGTGCAGAACCAAGTTTATCCTTTAAAGTGCCAATTGCGTCCAGAACTACATTCATACTCCGCATCGCCCTTTTCTTTTCTCCATTTGAAATTATATTCGGTGCCATTTTAAACTGTTTTAGATTTTTATGAATTGAATAGATTCATTCTTGATAATTGAAAAGGAAATAAGACTAAAATTTTGTTAAAAGTTTTTCTAAATCGATGTGCTTATGCGGATTTAAAATTTGTTACGGTGATTTTCATTTGAAAACAGTATTCTAGATGAAAAAATTATTGTCAAACTTATATATGGCGAATCTAAGTATGCGCCGAATATTCAAATGCTAAATATTATGTCTAATTTTGACGTTGAAAAATTTGAATTATATATTTATAAGGCGATGGAAGTCTTATTATCAGTTAGAATTATAGAATTCATTAATAGTTTTAATATTTTAAAAGCTATTAGATTATAGTGGTATAATTCTTTACATTTATAATGTAAAATTGTACTTTATAACTTATTGTTGAACATCATTCATAACGTTCTATGAGCAGTTGTGATAGTCATCATTCTATGTCTGATGAGATGATTATTAGATTTCTAATACTGATATAATATTACCATATGTCATATAATATTAGCAGCAATACTTTGAGAACTTATATATTCACTTTTTATTTTAGATGTAATATCAGCTGATATTACATTATTAATTATTTCAGATATTATCTGAAATACCTGAAGCAATGTAGTGTTTTTGATAAATGAAATATTTGAATTTTTAACATGACGTTTATTATCTCGTAATAATTGAACTCAACGGTTCTTCTCACAATAAAAAATCATGCAGATATTGCATCCCTACATTCTGAATTTCATTGTATAATTCTGTACTATATATATTGAACGTATTAGGTATTTATTTAAAGACATAATTTATTAGACACGGAATATTATTAAAAAACCTCCAATTGCAACATGGAATAGTACAGTTATAGTCAACAGAAGCTACTATAAATGAAAATCTAATTGGGACGGAATAGACACCTATGAAAATTCTAACAACAGCTAAGTTTTAACATTTTTATACAAAAAACATTAAATGTTACTTTTGGTCATTACATACAATTTTGACACAATATTATATTAAGACTAAAAATGATCTCACACGTCCTAATAAATTTTTTTTGGTATATTTTGAAATAAAAGCTTGGCGATTAATAAGATAGTAGTAGAGCACCATTGAGATGTACTACTCCGATAATGTTTTTCATCGAGCCAATGTTGTAATAAAATATATAATAGCAGAAAGGATACTTGAAAATATCGGTTTATGAAATTGGGTTGTTATTAAATTTATTCATACAAAATGAAAACGTAATTTAGCCAAATAAGAAAAGTACTATAAATAAATAAAAAGTTAGCAGAAGTGTTTCACCTTTGATAACTAAACCTTTACTTCTCCTAGTAAATAAATGGTCATGATTAGACACTGCCACTAATGAGTGACTTCAAATCAGAAAATTCTTATCTACACAGCTAAGCTGCAACTACTTTTACAATCAAATTTGAATCTCATTTCGGCATTTCTCAATGTATTTGGTTCAAACGAAACATATGCAAAAACATTATTGCATAAAAATCTTCTTAAATTAAGAACATTCGCTAATCGAATAACCGGACCATTGACACATCAGAATGAAATAAATCACATCTAATTGCTGGGGCTTAAAATAAGTCCAAAGGGTTCAGAGGTGCACCAGTGACTTCCCAAATAGTGGCCGCTAATCTTCTGGCATGCTCTAGGACGCAGCTTGTAGTGGTCAAGCCGAGATGAATGCTGTATAATTCATAACATAGAATCTTTGAAGGAGATGTTTTGGGAAACGCACTTGCTGTCAGCTTCCTGAAATTATTCAGAATATTAAAATGTTCAGATTTATTACTATACACATGGACTTATTTTTCTTTTGTAAAGATTAGATTGTTTTGTGTCAATTCAATATAAAAATGCGCAGAATCTGCAGTATATTTTATAATATTTCTCTTTATTATAAAAATGCAAGCTGCATTTAGGAAAAATGCTTACGACAACGACTAGTTTTTCAAATTAATATTTGCTCAATATAATAAAGAGAAATATTATAAAATATACTGCATTATATTATAATACATAATCAACATAATCAAGAATAAAATGTTCTCTTAACTGAAAATTAGTCAATGCGATTGATTTGTAACAAATTTCATTTCATACATTTCGGGTTTTAATGTATTTTATTTAATTATGGACATCAACTGTTGCTAATCAGTTGCACAGAACGAGCATATGCTTACACACAGATTCTGATTGGAATCGCCTAAACGCGCGACGAAATTCAAAACTTTGATGATTTTTTATAATTCAACCGCTTGTTGCAGGTCTATAATATTTCAGTGTATTATTTCAGGCTTTAAATATATCGTCATTCAATAATAAAATACATTTTATCAATAACGTTAAAAAATGTTTTGTCAACATTTATGTACGAAGAATCGGCCCGGCCCAAAACTAATTAACACGATACCCATTAAATATCTCACAAACAGTTTTTAAATTTTCAAAATCGATTCAAGATTGTGGGTTGAAATGTAGGCGAAAATGTTTACACTCTTCTTCTAATTACAAAAAAAATACGGCTTGGCAGATCGTCGCACAAAGCTGACCGGATCCTTATCGAGTTACATCGAATGGCTTTTAAATTATTAAAATCGGTTCGGCCGTTTTTGAAAAAAGCGTCGACAACAGGTCAAAAATCAAATCACATACATAAACACACACAAGCATACTTTTTCCAAACTTGGTCTCATTCGATTCAGAGTTCAAAACTGGATTTTGTCGCGAAAAAATAAACTTCTTCAGAAAGTTAAAAAAATAAATTAATTCTATAAAGAAAAACTTACTGATAAAAATCGCCGCATAATAGCCCCGGCTCAGGTAAGGTTGTTAGCATTTCATGCTTGTTTGGCAAGCTTCCACCATTCGGTGGTGCTATTGGAGTACCAGAACGTTCTGAGAACCATAAAAATCGTCCATAACAAAATACAGAATCTTTCCATATCAGCGAAGCATGGCCTCTACTTAGATATGAATTTGAGAACTCAACCATTGACCAGACCTAAATTGTTACACAACATATAAATAATAAGTGAAAAATTAAATATTCATTGTTTCAACTTTTCTAAATAATTAGAAAAAATATATATCACTTGTAACATACCTTTTCCTTAGTGAGAGACAACGTTTCTTGTGAAGTAAAATCTAATGTGGGAGCGGTCATACGATTCTGTGTTCGATCAATGTAAATGAAATGCACCATGCCTGGAAATTCCTCCAGATATTTGTTAATAGACAAAGAAGATCTTGTGTGATGTTAAGAAAAAAATTAGTAACAAATTTTTAAAATATTGTGTGATAAAGTAATATTATGAAAGTATAATTCAAAAGGATATGATCCAAGTGTAAAATTCTTCATGGCTTTTACTTGCAAAAAATCTGAAAATGAAGACAATCTGCTCTTGACTTTGCGTGCTACATCAATAGCTCTAGTTTCCTCTTTATTGGATACTTCTTCCGAAAAACATGCAGCATGAAATAAATATCTCAATGCTTCCCACAATACGCCCATCAAAGAATCAACGCTAACTAAGTAGTCATTATTATCAGTTTTGAAAAAATCTGAGTATTTCTTTTTTACTACTTCCCACTTATTGTGAAGATTTCTATGCATATTGTCAATATGCGCGTTTTTGATTTTGCACTTTTTTAAACCATCGGTGATATGTTTCATAGAAGCGTCTAAATTTTCAAAGGCTGGTTTCAGAAGATCCATTTCTCTTTGTTGTAAACAAAGTTTTAATAAATTCAAGGAAAGGAATGACTCATGCAAACTAGGCGCGATATTGTAGTGATAATGTTCACTTATCAATACTAATGTTATTGTAGATGATAGAGGTATTGTATAGATTATATGTGGAATACAACTTGGCTTGGTATTTCCAACATTTAAGAATAAAGTATTTGTATATACTTCTGTTTGAAAATCTACAAATAAAAGAAAATGTATGTACTTGTATTTTAGATCGATTTAAATTCTAATTCAAACCTTGGTCGTCATCTGCATCGATTTCCTTATCTTTAAGTTTTGAACCAAAAGAAGCGACTTGGCAAAACATGTTCAAAAATAATAAATCTTCTGATGTCAAGGGATACGAGTTTACACTAAAATATCAATCAATTATTAAAATAAATACTAAATTAATAAAAAAAAAAAAAAATTATTTCAATAGCTGAGCATATACCTTGAATAAAGTGATAAAAACTTATTTCCTACATAAATCAAGGCATGTCCAGCTTTTGTCAAATTATCGGCAGCTTCCTTTAATGCTTTTTGTGAAGTTGTACTGAGATCTGAATTAACTAGTAGTTGCTCTGTACAGTCAGTAAGAAATGATTGTTCATTGTTATATAAATAAACCCATTTTTCTAATATTTGTGTTAGTAATGTAGTAAAATATTCTTTGGTCTTAAATCTTGAAAATATTAGTATTATTATTTATGTAGAAATTGGACAGTATTGAAGAATAAAAATAATCTTACAAGCTTAGGTCTCCTGCACACAAGTGCTTCACTGCCGTTACACAAACTCCTGATAATCTATGTAAATAATCAGTCTTATTTCTTCCAGCAATGAAAAATAAGTATCCTAAATACTGCGGAATGATTGTTAATATCAATATTTTGTTAAAAATCAGTATGTCAGCAGTATAATCATTTTGTAAATAACAACTTAGAAACAAATAGAAGATGAAAAAAAGCTAAATGATCCTTCGAATAAATGCTACTTAAGCAAAGTTTGCAATAAATTTATGAAGATGCCAAATAAAAAATGCTATGTAAACAAAATTCATACTAAATTCAGAAATAATATAATATTTACATTTATTATGTTATATGTTCGAAGACAAAAGGAGAATAATAACAAGAAAATTAAATTGATATTATGATTTCAAATAATAAAACCATAGAAGTCTTTGTATATTTTATACCTCACTAAATGCAATATTTAAACCATCCTCACACTGAATGCATCTGTATGAATTACCAAATTGTGTAGACATAATTCTTTGGCTTGTTATAATAGGACTAAATATTTGTATAAGTATGTCATTATTTAAATTCTCTGTACTCTACAAGAATAACATTACATTTAATCAATGTCAATATATATATTCAATAAAATATGATAAATAAATTATACTTCTGGTGCAATGTATCCTCGATCAAAAGCTAATGTTAGTAGATGTTTTTCAAAGTCCTCATCGAACTTTGAAAATAACACATCGTTCATTTCGTCGAATATTAAAATACCACTCATTTTGGCTATTTTATTTAAAGCTTAATATCAATTACGTTTTGTATATAAATATAAAAATCTAATGCATTTAAGATAAAATCAAGATGATACAAAAACACATCTTGATATATTTGTACTGTGGAAGATAAGAATTTTTTATGTCATGTTTGTTTTGACGTTTGCGCAACTTTGCATTTGACAGACGTATCAGAAGTTCAATCGGAAATATATAGATGGCGAGACACAAACTACAAAACCGTTATGTTCTGTTTTTAATCTTCATTCAAATAACTAGTGGGGCGCATGGCATCGTGCCTTAAAGCAAATTGCTGGAACTTCCCGTACCAAAAATTATTTTTTTTTAGAAAGATTAACATTTTTGAAAAGAAATCACTCTGAAAAAAATAGATTGTTGAGGAACTATAAATTTTTGACAAAAATTTACTTTTGTTTTGAAAAAAAGGCTTTTTGAAGAAAAATTTATTTTGAGATATTTTTGGAAATTCTGAACTTTTTTCCAAAGCAACCGTACTGCTTTAACTGCATAGAGACGAAATGTGGAAGCGCGTAAGCGCCGCGTCGCCTAACGGATAAACATTGGTACGGAACCCATAGAAATGTAAACAAAATGTATACTAATTATTAAAATCTCTATAAAATATCTTATAATTTGATGTGCATATGTCTAATAATCATTTTTGACCGCCAAATGGCACTTTTTTTTACTTTTTTTACTAGATCTCCGAAACCGCTAAACCTGCCTTCATGAAAATTTGATCAGTTCTTCATCCTGTTAATACAAGTAAAATGTTTTTTGAATTATTCCAATCGGACGCTCTGTTCTCTTAAAAACTGAGTTACTGTTTTTGGCACTTTTTTCCCCGTATCTTCGGAACGGCTAGACCTGCCTTCGCCAAAAACTAATCGGCACGTCTCCTTATCAATACGAATCGAATGTTTTTTGAATTATTCAAATCGCTTCATCCGTGTTCCCGATATTGTTGACAAAAATTTGTATCCGCACACACACACATACAAATACCCACACACATACATTCATTTTTTCTAAGGTATACCAAAATGTTTAGAAGGTTTTGAAACGTAAAGATATATAAAAATTTTCATTTTCGATTTTTTTGCGATTGCTATAACTTGCCCTACGGGAAGTTAATAAACTAGTTGTGTATACTTCCCGTACCATAACGAAAAATATTGTTATAAATAAATACTGTAACATTGATTACATGAACATTATAAGAATTATATGAACTGAATTGCAAAGTTGATATTATTTATTTAAAGTATATTAGAACTTTAGCCAGAATTAAAATTAAAATCTGAATTATTTTTTGATATACAGAAAAAAAATTTGCAAAACGTAATTATATTTTAAAACAATTAAAACAAGTAGAAAGTTCTTTGAATCAGCAAAGCGGACTCTTATTTCTCTCAAAAACTGCCATTTTTTGAACATTTAGCTCTGTATCGTCAAAATAGCTGGACCTGCCTTTGCCAAAAACTAATCAGCACATCTCCCTATCAATAGGAATCGAAAGTTTTTTTAACCTTTCAAATCGGTTGATCCGTGCGCCCAAAAACGTGGACGAAAACATGCGCACATTCAAAACACACACACACATCCATTTTTTCTGAGGTATGCCAAAATGTTCAGAAATCTTCAAAACATGAAGATATGCAAAAATTTTCATTTTTGATTTTCGGCCCATTACTATAACTACCCTACGGGAAGTTAATACTTACTTAATTAATATTTTTCATATATCTTACAAGTATAGTCAAAACAAAAAAAGCCAAATATATTTAATCTCATTAAATGGTCAATAAATAGTCAATAAATGGTAAATAAGCAACGAATTTTGTTAATCGACGTGAAAATAGAACGAAACATTGACACGGTGCAAACAACATTTACAAAAAAAATCTAAGCTCAAAAATTACCTTGCTAAAAAACTAGTTGAAAGTTGAAAGTGCCGTTTAGCCTTAAGGAAAGTTGCATGAACTTTCCAAAATATGTAGGAATTGACTTAATAAATCGAAATTAAAATTTAGATATTTAGATAAAATTTTCTCAAACACATTTAAATTAACTGTAATTATATTAATTATATTGCACAGGCACGTGCTCGTATGCCTTATAATTGTAGCTTATAATTTTAAATTTTAATTAATTGATACTGACGCAAATTTTGGCTATAATATTCTCTCAAACTTTGATGAATTTTTAACAGTAACATTTTAGTATGTTTTATAAGACTATGATATCTATTACCAAAAAAGGTTCATAAAAATTGTCAAAAAATTTGTTTTCAACAGTTAATTTCAAGAGAACGGCTTGGTAGATTTTTACCTAAAACCAATCAGTATCATTCCCAACCAATATCTTTCGAAAAGTTTTGATTTTTTAAAATCGATTCGGAATTGAGAGCTAAAACGTGAACGATTTTTTTTTTCACTTTTTTGCTATTTACATAGAAACAGCTTGGCTGATCGTCGCGCAAAATTGATAAACGCTAGTCCTCATCGAGATACATCGAATGGCTTTTAAATTTTTGAAATCGGTCCAACTGTTTTTGAGAAAACGTTGATTTACGGCAAAAAATTTGTTCACATACACACACACACTCACACACACATACTTTTTCCAAAAAAAGCATACTTTTTCCAAATTTGGCCTCATTCGATTCAGAATGGATTGAAACGTCGAGAAAACTAAAATTAGTGGATCGGATTTTTTGATGAAAACATAAACTTCTCCTTCGAGAAGTTAAAAAATGCTTTTTTGTCTCATATCTTTTTTCCGCAGTACTAGAGCTTCGACTAGTTAATATTAATTTGCTTCTGATAATTGAATGAAATTTTCATTTGTTTTAATAATTATGACTGATGTTATTTTAAATATAAAGTATTTAAATATATTAAATATTGTCTTAGAATACTTCAAAGCAAACATCATAATTATATTATTCGAAATATGCTGTGTAAATAATTTCGGCACTAATTTATTTATTTGTTTAATATTCTGTACACTTTCTGAGTATTGCTATTATAATCTGCCATACAAGTGCCATAAATAAAAATATCAAATTAAATAATGCCAGTTACAAATTTATATTTTACGACCTAACAGTAGTCCGTGTGCGTGAAACAATTGATTTCCGGAAGATCATCATCAGACTCCGCGGCAACCGCCAACCTTGGTTCACTATTGATCAATTACTGTATCAGTAATTGTATGATTAATGGAAAAACTAGGTGCAAGTGGCAATTTGCCTTAAGGCACAATAAACTTCATGTTATGTAAATGTAAATAATAATAAATCTAATTAATACGAATTGAGATTTGGATAATGTCTTCAACTGTTTATTCCGAAAACTAGTTGGTACTGGTATTCAGCCTTGAGGCAAGTTACATGAACTTCCCGATATGTTTAAATAATCGACTTAATCAATAAAAAATAAACTAATTTATGAGTGATTAAAAGTATTCCGAGTGGATTTATGACACATAATTGAAAACGAACGAACACGTTAACTCGGAGTATTTTCTAAAAGCAAATTTTCAAAAATCAACAATTTTTATAATTGAACAAGTTTCCGTAGGACTTTAATGGTTTAGTAGGTTCATTAAGACCAAGTACTCTATAGTTATAACAATTAAATCGTCAAATTTTAATTTTAACAAACGTCAAAAAACTACTCATTTTCTCAAATTTTGATGAATTTTTAAAATTAAACTACTTTTCGTAGGCCGTAATATTTCAGTAAGTTCTATAAGACCATGATATATATTGCCAAAAAAGTTTCATAAAACTCGGCTTAAAAATATCTATAATTGCATTAATTATTTTGATCAAACACGTGCTTTTATGATCTAAAAGAGTGACCTATTCGTTATTTCAATCTAATGAATTTTTGTAATTCAACCGATTTTTGTGGGACCATAATATTTTAGGATGTTCGTTTATATTAGTTCGTTAGACCGTTAACTCCATCGCCATGAATAATTTCATTAAAAGCCATGATTTATGCGAAGAAATGCTAATCGCGTTTTTTTACAAAAAGCTAATCAGCACGAATAGTAACTGATATCTTTCGAACCCAATTTTAAATTCGGTACAGCATTTTGGCTAGAAAGTGGACGAACAATTTTGCACTCTTCTTCCAATATTTAATGTTACTTGATGTTTACTAGCAGTTGTAACTGAAATTTAAACTTAAACTAAAAAAACTTCTCTCATTTTAAAGAAATGTTTCGACCGATCGTCGTACAAGCGACGCGAGTCTTTATCAAATTATAACAAATGGATTTAAAATTTTTGAAATCGGTTTAGCCGTTTTTTAGAAACTGTCGACAAAAGTCAAATTTCGGCTCACATATACACAAATTTTCTCCAATTTTGGTCTCAAACGATTCACAATGATGACGCAGATCGGATTTTCTGGTAACTTCTCTTTTAGAGAGTAAATTAGAAGCAGTAATAATTGCTCATAGTGTATTTAATAAATTAATTGTAAACGGACAAACTAATTTTGTAAAAATGTTTATTGAAATTAATACTAATTTCCATCCACGTATTAGATTTTAATTGAGAATATATAACAATAATGTTTAATTAAAAATTAACAAAATAAGAATGTTTAAGTATCGATTACAGTTCTACACTATCACTATATTATTTTAAATCTTTAGAATATTTATTATAAAAAATATTTATTTGAATTTATTTAAAATAAAATTATGTATTATTCACACAAATTGTTCTCACAATTAGAATTTATATAACATTTGATGTAGCATATACCAATAAGGAGTATGCTAAAATTTATAAAGATTGATGAAATAATTGTTAACTTCAATAGATTCTTTAAGAAATTCTCTGAATTATTGATTTTAAATTAAATAGCAACTACCTTAATGAGGGGCTCAATAATCATAGATAACTTTTCAATAATGAAATTTTTAATGTGCATAAAATCATGTAACAATAAAAAAATAACGTACATATATGGAATATATTATACTTAAGAACCCAATACATAATAAAGCCCAGAAACATCCTAGTCTTAAAAAAATGTATTTTTTGTAATATAAATAATCCAATCTAAAATGGTTCATGTGACAACCATCCAAATATTTTTTATGAATAGGGTTATCTTTTATAAATATAAGAAAGTTTTACGGCAATACGATTAAATAGAGCACTTTTAATTAATTTTGAAAATAAATTATTTTTTTAAGTACTTTCCCAAGATGATTGATGTTTTTTATACATGTCGATAGTTTTATTGGCGTAAGTTTGATAATGTAAAATCAAACATAGATTATTTGTAATTATAACAATGTTTTCAATATCCAATATTTTGCAAAATTGCAAATTTCTTATATGCAAAATATTTAAAAACTCTAATAGTACAGATTGCGTCATATGGCCATTTTTAACCATTTTATTGTTTTTTAGAAACATTAAAATCATAAAAAATTGTATGCAGTAAGAGATAGAAGTCTGTTAATGCTCATTCTAATAATTCTCTTCGGCTATAAAACATTAGTACGCAGTGCTAAAGTTTATTCGTAATAAATTTGATAAGTAGAGAAAATGATAATAATCATATTTAGAATGAATTTATTCTAATATTTATGCCTCAATGCATAAATGATAGCAGTCTTATTCGCGATTAATAAATTTGATTAAAACCACAATTTATAATTTTATGCATAAAAACGTAAAACAAACATTATTATAATGGAGTGTTCATTTATTAAACATGTTTGATTTGCAACAAGTTTTGCAAGCTCTGTTTAACACTTCTTATCCAATTGTCCCCATCATATTATCATGTGAGATATTAGGCCTCGTAGTCCTGAATGAAATAAGTGTGATTTAATCATTTAAAAATCTCTGGGAAAACCAGGTTGAAAGTTAATCCAGATATATTCTAGAACCCAGATAATATCATCAAAACACATTTTTCTGAATCAATACCATTCATTTCACGGGACTTGTTTAATATCAATTTTAGAAATCATAAAATTACGGTGAATCCAATTGTGTTTATGAAGTTATTCAGAATGGTTAAGTGAGCGATTTCCAATGTAAAACTGATTGAGCGCTAATTATGTAATTGTTTTGATTTTAACTTGTTTTTTACAGTATTGAGATATATTTAAGTATATTTTAAATCACGGCTATTGAGATTACTAAAGACTTACTATTCCTGCGGCGATTACTAAAAATAGTGTGGTGATTATCAGTGAAAATGAAATATGAAAGTTAATAAATTGTGAATTTGTTTACAAATTTGTTGCAAGTTTTGTGAATTGTTCATAAGAACAAATTAAGTTTCATCTAAAATAATATTTGCAAATAGCATTTAACAATGGATGTTGAGGATTAGGATTGGTGAGATTTGTTTGATGTTATATATATATATATATATATATATATATATATATTATGCATATAGTGTTCAATTTCAAACCAATTTTTCGTATTCTGTACCTCTGCTATAAATTCCTAGTATTTTTCCTTCTCGTAGACCATCATCTGCTTCATCCTAGTATTAACATCCTTGTTTTCATTGTTTCCAATTTTCCTTTTATTAGACATATATATCTTGATAATTTTTTGAAAAACACTGGATACAATTTTATTTTTATCTTGCATTTTTTTCTGGTCTTCTGGTGCACCTTATTTTAGAGAACTAATTAGTTCTCTTTACTTTATTTTAGTAATTTTAGTAATACTTTTAAGTATGTAACATACTAAAATTCAAAGTATCATTAGTAATAACTTTTAGTGAATGTATTTTTATTTTTTAGTGTTTATTTTAGAACAATTTGAGATTAAACATTTTGAAACAATAGGAAAAGTGAACTTCAATTCCTTCAATTTTCATATAATTAACTATACACTTATTATAATAAGGGTATAATTGTAACAGTGTTTGAAGAGAGAACATCTCATTCAAAAGCTCTCTCTGCCAAGTGCACATATATAACTTCAACCATATTTTATTTTGAATTCCAAGATCCTTCAAAAGGCTCTCTCTGCCAAGTGCTCATATATAACTCCAACATATTTT